TATTGAGGCATAATAACATTGGCATTAAAATAATATGCAAAAGTATTAAAATATTTTACTATAATAAAAATAAAATAACCGAATTTAACAGACAGGTAGATATTATGTGTGAAAGTTGCATTTATCCTGTATTTACATGGCTAAACTATTTTATTTTATTTTAAATCTCGTTATGACCCTACCGCTACAATTTTTGCAAAATATATTTTCGTGACTGTGCAGGTCACATGTGCTAAAAATTCATAAAACAAAATGAAAGTTGTTGCAATAAACCATACAATGTCAGAAGTAATTTAAAATATCTTCTTGGCTCGCCGAAACTCGCAGAGAGTTTCAAGACATTTGCGAATACAATTTGACCATAAGATAATCTGCTCCCTCCTAAAACGTGTGCTTTAAAAATTCAGCAAACGTTTTTATCATATTACGAGTATTCCAGAAGAATATTGTTTTTTAATTTAAAAATAAATTAAATTACACGTAGGTAACTTTGATGATTGTGTGTGCGGCAAGGCCGAAGGTGCGATGGATGGGGCGAGCGTGTCGTCTGGGGCGCATGCAAATTTCCTGTATAAATCGATATTGATTTTCATCGTCTATCTATCTTACGTGTGACAACGGGTCCCATGCCGGGAGCAGCACGAGCAGTCCGTGGGGTATCGATGGGGTACAGTATAATTCGTTTTTCGGAATTGTTCCGATTACAACGCCAGGACATAACTCAGGCAAAGATCAAGGACCCAAGTTAAATTCGCCTCTCAAACTTTTTCACTTTTTATTTTTTTGTTAGTTAAATTAAATGTCTGAGTTAAAATACAACTCAAATTTGTTCTAAAATGCTTCCGGAATAATTTAATTGATATTTACATTGCTCAATTGTTTGAGTCTGAATGTTTGTTGAATGCGAAACTTTATGCTTTAATTATCATTACTCTCGCCATGTTGGATTACATATGCATATGCATATATAGGTCAAAGTTTGATAATATTGAGAGTGGATTCTAATCCATTCGAAAATTATGTATCAGAATTTTAATTCAAAATATGTAACAACAGAATCAACGCTACGCTATCCATCCAACCAATATATATATTTACGTCAGTACAACGCAAATGTATAAATAAAATATATCAAAACATTTTCCTATTCAAATTCCCGTAGCTGCACGGTACGCTGCCAGATGTGCAAGCTCTATGTCCCTCGCGACAGATAGATTTATACGCCACCCATAAAACAAGCAGCATTTACTTATTTTGTGTCATATTGGTAATAAATAGTGGGCTTTTCTGCGTGTACCATGCCTTTGCATTATTCGCCATAACTCTTACCTGCATTTTTCACCCAGTTTTCACCTACGGGATAACCTAACCCGAAAACCATGTCAACATGCATTCTATCCACAAACTGATGATAGGATCTGACAATGGAATACTTCCTGTCATAGGGAAATTAAATTACTCATTATTCTACGTCCCCTAATCTTGGTTATTATTAAAAAATTATTCTACCCACATTTACAACGTTTCCTACGATATTTTGGTAACAGGCTGTGCATTGGGGTGGAGTATCAGGTGATTAATATGAAACGACCGTGAAATTTACAATTCAATTTTTGCAATTATGAAAGATCGACGTCAAACGTGACGTCGACAATTTAAAATGCGTGTTCATTAATCAGGCGTCGTGTGACGGACGCGGAGTGATGTCGCAGCGCGCTGCCACCATGGTGGAAGGATGAGGGCTGGAATCACGATGGGGGCGGTCAACAAATCGACGCAGCGTCCTGTTGCGACGTTATCTCTTTCGATAATTCGTCAGGGCTAACGAGCCGGCGGCGCCCGGCGGCTTGTTTGCATTTCGCTAATAGAAAAGTATTAAAATAATTGCCTGCTCTAATGGCACGTCGATATCGCTAATGCTGCGCGATATTAAATCAAATTATTTATAATTAGTTCAATGAGCCTCTTGTTACAGAGGGATTAAAACTTTGTTTAATGATAGCAACTTTTTATTTTTTAGTTAATCTTCATGTTTTTTCAAGGCAATTTTGTTATCTGTGCTTGTCACTTAGTTGTGATTATTTTATTTGGGGTTTGCCATCAGATAAGCCATGAAAAAACAATGACCATTTGTGTAATGCACCTTCTACTCCACTGAGTCCAACCGTCGGACGCCAGGACTTCACACGACACCTCCGCAAAAAAGAATCGCCCATGGCGCACGCATATCGCACGCGCATTCACTTCCCACGCACGTATTTTTCTCTTATCTTCGTGCAATTCATCATTCGCGCGAGTTACAAATGGATGCCTAGGGTGTCAACCGGGGAGAGGGTTGTATTATTTTGATTAGTGGAATGTTTCCTCTATATTCGGCCTTTTGAAGAGATGAATTCGTGGTGTGTGGGTGGGAATAGAATACAAATACGTTTCTTGCAAGTTATAACCACTTATTACTACTTAAACCAACGGTGGGACATCATTGGAACACTACCACACGTAATCTAGACGATTTCCTATGTTACATTGCCATTCACACAACCCACGATAATGCAAGATGTCGGATGGCAAATGCGATCGTATCTCATTCCCGGGCGTAACTGTTTTACGTTCGTACGGATTGCGGTGCCGTGCACGTTTTTAAATCGACGCAAAGTTGAACAAACGATGGCAGCAGTCGAAGGCGATAGTGATCCGGATATGTGATCCTGCGAGATCTTCGCGAACCGCAAAAAGTCTTTGGAACGTACGTTAGTATTACCACTCTCAAATTTTCCTACCCGTTCATCTGCCGATGTAATCAATCAAACTCCTAAGACACATATATAATCATTACCGAACTTGACATGTTATTCATGGGAGGGTGCGACGACTTATTAATTCCACATCGTCGACTTCTCATGTTTGCTAATACAGATATCAAATATCTAAAATTTTATTTGCTGTATTTATAATAGAAAACTAATAAATTTTGAAATTCTTTAAATATGTCAACTTTTTCCGTTGGAATATTTCATAAAAATGTGTGAATTGACGGATATTGGTGCTCACATCACACACCCAGGGTGAAAATGGAAACATTCCTGCATATCAAGTGTAATATTAGGTTATCCATGGCAAAATAACAAACTCCACGTTATTGCCGCGTAGGATAAGTGGCAGAATAGGCTTATAAAACTCACTTAATATAATCGACGCGCGCGTTGCGAGATGGAAAATATCAAATAACATGTAAATGCTCAACGTCCGCGTGTCGTCCTCACGTTTCTTTGTTGCGTCGTTTACAGCTCGCATTTCCATACCACTGGCGAAACAATATACCATTTTCGTTTTTTCCCTCACACACATTTTGCGTATTTGGAGGAAATTATTTCACCGAAAGTGGCAAAGGTTTTCGAGATAATGCAAAAGATGCATTGCGGAAATGATTATTACAATTGGCAATAATACGTCTAGCATGAATCTACATACATATCACATTACGCGATGCTGTAACCGACGATGATTACAAGCACTTAGCGTATGCGTTGCAGCTCAACGCACCCCAGCAATTCACTCCACATATCTGCCGAGTGAATTTCATCAAAATAAAGCGCAAATGCTGTTTTGTTGCATCAGAAACACCCGGAAGCAATTGTTCTGATTTTTCACTTTATATTTGTGAGTCTTATCACACATGCATGTGAGTATAGCAATGCGAGTAATTTATTTCCCGCCTTGTACTTTTATGTCCCGACGTTGATTAATATTAAAGTTCAGCAAGTAGTTGCCAGGGCGCGTATAGTTTCCAGTTTACGACTTATTAGTAGGACAAGCACAATAATAAAACACCGCAACTAAGGTGAGCAACACATGCACTTCAGGTCAATCGTGTCGAGCCAACCCTCAATTATCGATCCAGACTATAAGTATAATGACAACTATAAACCATTCGAAATGCTGTAAATAATTTCTTTTCGTAAAACGCAAGAAACGTTGTATTAAAGTTAGCATTTATTCAGCACAATGAGTATACATATGCAAAGCCACGTTCGTTAAAGTAAATTTAAATAAATTCTTTGTAAAAGTAGTTAAATCAAGCAAGCACATAAATTAAACGCTGAAAGAAGTTTCGTAATTTATTTATTCTGCGCTGGAAGCTTTCAGCAAGTCGCTTAAAGCAGCATATGTAGGTGGAAAAGGTTTTTGAAACCACAAAAACCCAGTAGTTGCTAAAGAGGTCTTCCACCTGTCGTCGCTGTTAAATAACAGAACCTAAGATGACGCGCAGAATTCAGCGCTCCCGGGTGCGCGGTGGTTTTCTCATTAGTGTGAGAGGCGAACTTGCCTCGTCCGCGCGATGCAGTCATCTAAATGCATGAGAAAAACGTAATTAAAAAATGCACATCCGTATGAAATGATAATATAGTCTAGCTTGTGATATAAAAGCGCGTTGAGAGCGATTGCACGTCTTTCGTATTAACTTTCCGCGCTCGCTGTTGCAAGTTTGATTTTTTTTCCACTCTGCTAGTATTCTGGTAGTACTCGTACATTTCGACTGCATTACTTTTACACCCACACTTTTGCTCATGGTGGTTGTGTAAGAAAATTGTAGTGAATTCCGCTTACTGCATAATTTCGCGAGAAACGTGATGAAAGCATAAGGCGTTCGTACAATGCATAACAAGGCGCACTTGGTGTCGCCCGGAAGTGATGCTCCCAATGATCCAGCCTCACTGGTTCAATGTGTAGCTGTAGATGATGAAAAAAAACGGGCGCATTCGTCGCGTATAATAAAGCACGTTTCTATCATAATATCATTGCTGTCGATGTCGAACGCAGGGCGGCTGGGAGTGGACGCTGGTGACGGGTGGTCGTTTCGCTGCCGCCACCAGCCATTGTGTCCATACGTAGTCGCGAGACGACCGAGACGTTACGAGTTCGCACTCGAGAGCAAAACGCCGCGAACAAAGACCCGGAGTTTGCCGGATAAAACTATATGATCTTGAACACTTTTACAGAGTTGGAGAGGACAGCGAGTGGGAAGTCATCGACAGCATTCTCACGCCGAACAACGCCTCCACCTACCAAATCACCAACCTACATCCGTACACGGTGTACAGCTTCCGCGTGATCGCCGTCAATGGGATGGGTTCCAGTGCGCCCAGTAAGGGGTCATACTATATGGTTACGCTGCGCGAAGGTGAGTACATCGCACCACAATTGTTAAGTTAAGTCTTCTTTAGGTATCTTGGGTAAAATATTGGTTTTTCGGGGTATTTTTACTCACCTTTCGTGGCGTATGTGTACTTTGCATTTCATATCACAATAGGGTGGAGAGTCAAACTCCAAACGACACCATTTAGTAAAATGGTGTTTAGGTGGAAACTTGAGGACATTTTCTGATTTTTTTATGGTTATGTGATCATGAAAGTGGATTTGAGGTTAAGAATAAAATTTAATTTTACATTTCTTTAATTTTTCAATTGAATTTTACCTAAAAACGACTTTATTTATTTTATTTTATTATTTCTGCATTATTCTAAGAAGATTTTGATTATTTTTCTCTTTTTGTTAAGGTAAATAGCTCTTTACTTCATAATATTAATATTATTACTTAATATTAATAAAGTTGTAGTTTTGCCTCTTAAAAAACTTTATATTAAAGTTTCTCTTTTATTCTAGCAAACTTTTTTGTCAACTTTATTCTCGTTAATTAATTATTTTGTTCAGTTTCGACGCAGCCCACGAGCATTCATCGCCGCGTATTTTAGAAATGATCAATATAATTAAATTTCAATCTATAGTTAGTATTTATTAAACAATAATGTTCATCAAACGCTAGTTGCTGACCCAATTAACTAAGGAATTCAGTATATTCATGACTAACCAACAGTATATTTCCGTTCTTTGTAATTCAAAATGCAGTTTCTGGGAAAATTCGTGCGCGAGCGAATATTTCGCGACGCGCTCCGTTGACAAATCGATGAAGCAAAACGCGCAAATAAACAGCGCACAAACACTATAACGTTCGCACGTCAATACCAATAGATTTGTGTGTGGTCAATAGGCAGGTGTAGGTGTAGGTGTTATGTAGAGTAGGTAGAATCCCTGGACGAGGTATATGTCACCAAACCATTGTCAAAGTGAAACCGCGCTAATCGAACTTGTAGCGATTTGAACAAGCCGCGGTTCATGCAGGCAGGCTAGAAGCCGATCCGTGGCCGTTATTGACAAATAAACCACACAATTTCTTGCCTGTCAGGAAATTAAATAACCGGTCGCGCAAGTGGGAAATCATTTGACATATAAAAATATCAGGTCATGGACTTTGTTACCTCATAGTTTAAAACATTGCGGATCAAATGATTGAATCAGGTATAATATCATTTCTCTAAATAAAACTCCAAATGTTTGTTTTACGATGTATTTAAAAAGTTGGCGAGCAAACAACTTTTGCTTTATTTATGCGCGAACCAAGTCAAAGCAAAAGATGCAAGATTCTAATTGCTAGACACCCGGGTATTATGTCGGGCCCGACGCAGGCCCCCAGGACTGCAAACGTGCACATCAAACGCATGCCTTCGTGCCGAGATATGAAAGGCACTATAGGAAGATGAGAGTACTCGGAAGGACTCCGAGACGTTGGACGGCATCTTGACGCTCGGCACCCTTTCTATGCCTGCAAAAAGTTTGCTTTAAACATCATGTTCGATAAACTACATATATTAGAGATATACTGATATAGTAGAAGGTATAGATATAGATATTGTGTTGGAGGGTTGCGTTTTCCACCCACACACAGAGAAAACCAAGACGCACTCTCACACGTACGCAGCCTTAATGTGATCGGATCACTTACTTCAATTCTCTTGACTGCCCCTTATGCTTTCCAACAAGAGTCCGAAAACTTTCCGGATGAAGTTGCTCCCTCTCGGGCGGGCTTCCCGAATAAACTTAAATGGACTACGCGGTCACCCCAGTTTTTCTCGCCAGAAATGCTTCGCATTGTTTTTCTTCTGCATGGCGCAGCGACAATAAAAGCACACACTCGAGCCACGCGTACAAACGTTTAAAAAAACTGTGTATAGGAATACGGTATGAAACTTTTAAGAGATTGTTTTTTCGTATCTGTAGTCAATGTGTTTTTATCAAAGGAAATGCAAGTATTGACTTTTGATACGAAAAAATGTAATCACGTGAAATGTTAGAAAAGATTTAAAATAATTTTTCTTGATCTTCTCTTAACGATTCCACAATAATTCAACTTGAGTATCGCCAAATCATTTTTTTTTATTTATTCACCCTCCTAGTTCTAGTTCTATCCATTGCTATTCCCCTGGAATAAAATCGATTTAAGACGTTCGCGCCACATTGCAAAACGGAAAGCATTAACGGCGCATTTTGCGGACGTATTATATTTGCAAAATCCCTCCACCCTGGTGCTTCCACGCCAGCCACAAATCGGTAATGCTGGCCATCTATTTTATTCATAATGCATGTCGTTGACGGCGCACAGCGTCGACATACAAGCCGCGCGCGCTGTAAATAACGACCCACTGGTCTGCGCTTTCGTGTGCGCCTGCAATAGGTACATATGTTTACGGAATAGATCTAATTGCCCGGCGCGCACGAATAAATTCGTTCGTTTGCCGGTGCGCCGGACGCACTCGGCTGGAGGGCGATGGAAACATCCAGGCGCCGCCGCATCATGAATAAATTCACATTTGTATAATATTTCAACTGATGCGGATTAGAGCGTCGGCGAAATGTAGATTAGACGCTGTGGAATAATAAACGCCATGCGAGTTCAGCGCGAGTATATTTCAGACTTTCTTCATTCTGATATAGCGCAAAATACTCCGAGTGATAGTAGGCTTGAGTCGATGGGCTTCTTGCATGTTTATCCTTAATTCCAAGGGTATTTTCGACCCGTGGACTCAATACATAATTCCCGATTGAAAATCGCTTTTGTGTGTTTTATTTTTATAATTACCATCAAAATCAACGATTTAAAATCAATTTTTAGTCGAAATAAAGTCGTAGCACATGTTTTTTACTGAGTCCTGTTTGAATTTCATCGGTTTTGAAAGGTGTGAAAAAAACTCGAGCAGTGGCCGAAATGAACTGGCAAAATCAAACAAAGAAAACTGCCAACCATTCAGATGCGATCTTTAAAAGTCCTCCTCGTCGTATTTTTTTGCCCTTTCTGAAAAACATCAATCCACGTTTGCATTGAGAAACTCCTCCGAAATGCGTGTATTTTTTGTGCATGTCTTGGCTTTGAGCGCCTCCACCAAATCGTTTGCGTTCGAGCGCATGCATTCATGCCCGGCATGAGGGGCGTTATTTCATTTCCTTGTGTCATAAACGTATTCAAATGGCGATTTACATTGTTGGAGCATCGCGACAATATTAAGTTTGTGTTCTGCGATTCAATTTTATCTCCCTCCGGGTTACACGACAGGCGGTATGTACGAATGGTACCAACATGTATTACACACTTAAATTTAATCCAAATGGTAATATCTGAGGACCGGCGCCTCCACATCTTGCGAATAACTCACTACTCGACTGCACGCGCGACACAAAAATTGCTGCTTCGATAAAAATGCAATAAATAATTGAAGAAATCGATTCTCTGCATCGTGCACAATTTGTAGGTCAAATAACGTATTCATCCAAAATTTCTTCCATAGTGATTATGGATATGTACGAGTACAAGGCAATAATTTAAAATAATGTATGTCTAGCCAATGCGGGTATTACCCCTCAAGTTTATGTTACATTCAATACTTAGGTAATCGTTATGCGCGTTCCTCTAGTACTAGTTAGTTGATTGCGAGTTACACAGTAGTTTGCCTAAATCGGGGTGGGTGAAATATAAATGCTAATCGTAACACGCTTGTTACGACTGTTGGCGAGAGTTATGAACGACTTTGGAACTAAACACAAGCATACATAAACGTGTCCGACCAGCACAAATGTCACTGATAGTTATAAATAATAACAGTTCTCGCAAGCGCCGAAGCAAGTCGTAACTGGAGGTTAAAACATGTTAATTATCTACCGTGTGCCTTTGTTTACAGCGCCCACCGGCAAGCCGACAATCACAACTGCTCACAACGTGTCATCGACGGCGCTGCACATTAGCTGGCGACCGCCACATCGAGATACCATTCATGGAGAGTTTCTCGGATACAGGATATCATATCGGCCGCGGGATAAGGGCGTCGACGATGTTAAAGAAATCTACATCAGGGATCCCACCGTCGAGGTAAATTTTACTCTAAAATTTTAGACTTTTTAAAACAATTTTTTTTGTTTCTTGTAAAATAAAATAGAAAAAGACAAATTTTCATAGGTTCTTGAACGTGACGGTCTCTTTTAGTCTATAAAACGATTGGGAAAAAGAAATTGCGAGCGTCTTGTTGGTCGCGTCCGACATTCATTCATTCCAATTCCGCGTGCTTCAGATGTTGGTGCTCGCGCGGATTCCCGATAAACTCAATCTAAGGGCCCCACGGGAAATCACAGAAATTCACCTCGCCCCGCTTAATCGGATGACCTGTTTATTAATAGGCCGGCGCGACGCGTTCTTGCTGTTATTTTCAGATCAAATTGCCTCTGTGCGCTAATAAGCAACCCTGCCTTGCTCGTGTTTATCAGACGGCTCACCTTTCTAGAGTAGGTAACATTTTCTTTTTACGCCTTGCTGTAAACATAATTAGTGATTATTATTATTATTAGTAACCTAATTACGTTGAGTATTTACGATGCTAGTATAATTTTTTTTAAATGTTTTTGAATTTCTATCATTTATTATCGAAAAACACGTGGAAATGTCTCGGATGGCTTATGGAAACGCTGCAATTTTATATCACATCAGATCCTTTTCATCCATTCACATATGTTCCGCGACATCGTACTATTTAAATAACCATTTATCATTTTGATCGTAAAAACTTGTATATCTCGGGGAATAAATATGCCTGCGGCAAGTGTGCCATTCTCCACCGTTTTGGCAATAAGTCACCACAAAATGTAGCACATAATGATGATGACGATAACGAGGGACGAGGACGATAAACCATGATTACATATGATTACGAGAATTTCCTTGACTTTACACAGCGGTTTTTATTTTAAAAATCGTTTCAACTGACGTTTTATGGATTGCTTTGATTTGTAAATTGCTTTTTATGAATTATTATATTATTGATCCTGCTCGATATTCATGACCTGGCTTGTGACATTTGAGGTTATTTACAACTGAAACACATTTGCCTCCTGGCAACCGGGAGGAACATTAGATAAGCAAGGTATGAAGATGTGCGTGTGTGAATGGATGAACTAAGATCGTGGTTTGGCGCAAGTTTGCCGATTCTCCGCGTGGCCAGCAAGTCCTGGTGGATCGCTTAAGCACCTCCTAATCGTGCACGTGTCAGCCATCCGCGCCAGCATCCGGGGGAATAATTTCCCTCTAGGTCTCAAACCCCCACCACCACCACCACAGCGCTAAACAGGGCTGTATTTGTCTGTTGCAGAGCCACACCATACAAGACCTGGAGACCTACACGCAGTATTTGGTCTCGCTACAGGTTTTCAATCCTGAGGGACCCGGGCCGAGCACGACCGTACTCGTGATGACAGATGAGGGAGGTGAGTGCCTCATTTCCTTCGTTCTAACTGTTCATGCAAATCTACTCCTCGCTGGCGGGCATGTGGGGCGTCGGAGTTAAGTGGAGAACGAGCCAAAGTCGACGACTTTGTTCAACTTCAATTCGGGGGCGCGACACGCGCGCCAGAGAGTGTCTCATTTCTATTCCTGCCGCCGAGTCTCGCGCTCGACTCAAAAGCGGATGCAAATAAGGACACTGGCGACGTTTTCATAAACATCGCAGGATTCATGCGCCATGCTATTTTAACTCGGATTATATTATATTTATCGTGACTGCGGCGTCTGGACCCCAAATGCTACATACGCGCCTCGTACCGGAATTAAAGCTGTCGTTCTCACAACTATATCAGAATCTAGACTTCTGAGCTCTCACACAGCTCAACCGCGAAGTGCGCTTGCATAGAGTATCGAGTCGCGAGAAACCTACGAGTAAGTGACGTTTATGTCATGAGCTACAGAGTGCACTCATTTCCTTGATGTTTTGCAACTTGGTTTGCATGAAGATTTGCGGATTATAGAGATTTGCGAATTGTGACCGCTGTCAGGGACTTTTTTTCAACTCAGGGAATCCGCACTAGTAGTACGCGTTCAATATTCCTAAGTAGTCCGCAACAATCTTTTCAGGGCTGCCTAAAACTTGTATTTTTCATACGTTTCACGTTGATTTCTAATGCTACTTCAATTTAATAAATAAAATCATTCTATGCATAAAATATATCAAGAATGAAAGTTAATTCACATCGTAAGTTTTGTGGAACACCGAAAAAACATCTTGACGATGACAATAATACCGGGATATTGTAAGTTGTGATCGAGAGACGACCGCCATGGAAAGTTGAACTTCTAAATTAAATAAAGAAGTTCGGGTTTTCGAGTCGGACAAGCCTAGGTCCCCTGCGTTGTAGCCGCCGCCGTACGCCCCGAATGGCATTGACTAGATTTAGTACACTTTTTGATTTATGAAGGAACTTACGAAAATCAGACCCTTCTTATAATAGCAATTTTTCATGTAAAGTTTAAAAAAAATTGCGCGCACCAAAAGAAGCCTATCGTCCTTTCTGGGCGAAGCGGCTGACCCGCGAACAATGGTTCTCTTAAAGTTGCCGTTGGTCAATAGTTACATACGCATTTATCACAATTGAAAGATGTGGTGACTGGTCAAAGAGTTTTCTACATTCAACTTGAAATTTTCAATTTATAGCAGTCATGTGGAAAATTTACGGAAAATATATTTAAGTATTTCTATAAGACAGAACATAAGAAATCAATGTTCAGGTATGCTAATCAGGATATCTTTTAAAGTGTGTAAAGTACTTTACATTTACGTACTAAATCAAAATGCAATTCTATATTTGTGCGCTGAGCAGGCAGCTTTAACACTCGACGTAGTAAGCGTCTAAATGATGCTATCAACTAACATCAACGAATGTTTGCCGAATACTTCGTGAATACGAAGTGGAGTCTGTCGGCGAAAAGTGGAAACGTTTTAATCGCATGAAGATCAATCTAAGAAACGTTAGACGATGAACAAAACACATAGAGAGATTTTGCAAATGAGAATGCTTACGGTAGTCACACAAGCAAGGAAAAAAGCAGAAGAATTAATTTAAAAAAACTTATTTCTTAATATTTTTAATACCAAAGTTATATTAAATGACATTAATAATTAATAGAAATCAATTAAATAATAATTTGACGGTAATCTCTGAATTGTAGTAGATGTTCTCTTAGCATAGCATTGAAAACATCGTTTTAAAGTACATGAAATAAATTAGGAGGTGTTTTTGAATACTTTTGAGAGAAACCGCAAGAGTTTCCAGTGCAGGCAATACTATAATTGATCCTCAGTCGCAAGTTGAGATGGAATTGGGTACTGACCGGTGCAAACGCGGTTTTTTAGTTAAACGCACATTCGAACTGCACACGGATATTGACTAGGTATGTGCATAAAGTACTAGATGTGCGTGTAAGGTTTCTCTACCTCAAAGCAACACTAGTTAGCTGCTCAGTTTCTGGCACAGATCAAACGAATGCCAAATTTGCTAATACCCGAAGATCAGAGATTAGGTATGTAATTGAATTGAAATCGAATAATTGCATATATTTGCTTGTACAAAATAAGCACTTATATTGAAATGCAGTTTGTGAGAGTCAATACCCAGATAAATATGAAGAATGCATACGATGCATAAGCAACAAGAATAAATCTCTATGTGCATGTATAAATATATATGCAGAAAGTGTGCGTCTGGATTGTACCCACACACATTTCACTTAAATGAATCGATACGTTTCCTCCGCGTATGTTATTCCGTCGGCGGTGTGAGCTTACACGCCCGACTAAACGAGTGAAGATGCCGCACAAAGCATAGAGCGTTAGAAGTACCGGGCATCCTAGCAGCAGTGCAACGCCAGGACGTCTTTGTCGTTGCGCTGGCGACGCCTCATTATAGCGTAAATGAACCAGTCATTATTGCGCGGCAAATCGCTTTATGCGCACGGACCGCCTCACTCTTTACATAATAAATTAATATCATCCCATTGAGGCGAAGTTAAAGTCTCCGGAAATACTATTCCGACTAACTATTTTTGCACTGCGGAAACACTAAAGATATCCTGTGAATTATTAAAGAGCCAAGTTGCTGATCAAGAAATGCGCAACAATTCTGTACACGTGAACAAAATTACTTTGTGCAAATGTAATTTTTCTATTACATGCGCTGCGCGAGTAGAAAATGTGCAAATCAGCACAATTTATAATGAAATAAAGTTTAATACTATATTCACGCAGTAATTTATTATGCTCACTTTAATGAAGTTTAATGATAAGTGGTTTCTTTAATATGTCGGTGGAGAGTTTAGTTTATGTTTTCTTGTTTTGTTGTTGAGCACAAAATGATAGAACGCCCCAAGGGTAAAAATAAAGTAAAACACGAATCTAGGTTACGTTGAGATAATATTAATAAATATTACTTGGTTGAATTAGTTATTATTAATAAATCAATGTTTAGAAACTTGGAATTTTCACCACATTTCACAACAAAATCTCATTTTAGTATTGCTAGTGCCACCTAGCGGCGAATCACAACACTACAGATGTAATACAAGTTGCCTTGTCAAACACAATAAAAATCAATAAATGTTATTACTTCTGCTTAAAAATTTAATAACGCACTCTAATAAAATAAAATAGTTTTACAAAAAGAGTGGTTTTGTTGCTCAATTAAACATTTACGACTTTAATGTTATGTGAAACATGATGATGTTGGCGAAACATGCATTCTGAAATGAAAATGCAAGAAAATCTAAAGCATCTAAAGGAAAGTTGAACAAGATTTAAATTTCAATTACGAAATTCAGCGCACCTACAAAACGCGCCGCTATAGTTGGGCGAAGTTAAATAAGTTGGCATTGTTTGCAAGGCGAAGCTAAGGACAGTCTGTCTTCCTTCAAGCGCAAAGCGTCGCTGGAAAGAAGGAGTAAATAGAGATGAAATAAGATGCGAACAACAAAATGGTTTTGCGCTTCCCGGAAGAACGGTGAATAATTGTTGCTAATTTAAAACATCCTATAAATATCCTATCGACCGCATGCAGACCGTGGACTGTTGAATATATTGATTAAAGTGCGCGTTATGCATTTACTTCAGTCATCTTTATTCGTCTGGGTCAAATAATGTCGTTGTTCGCTTTGTTTTTCGCTCCGAGCGCATAATGACGGATTGCAGACTACCGAAACACGTTGCACCGATGACTCACCGACTGGGTGGTGGCGCGCGTCTCGTGTCTCATCCACCTTCGTGAACACCTGCTACTTGTGTAAGCCATTGTTCCGAAGAATACAAAAGATCTCAAATCTCGCCGTCGCGAGCACAAGGGGTCTCATTTAAATCGCCGTTACCATTATAATCACGTTACTGTTCGTGAATGGGACGCGCGCTGCCGTGTGCACCTCAGAGGAAATTAAACTAAACTTTTTCGAGCGCGGAAATCATTTTTCATCGCACAGGAGCGCAAATATTGAATGGCGAAGAAAAGGGCAAAAATAACAAATATTTTTAGAGTACGCTAGCGGAAGGTTTGTGCCTATTGGCTTGAACATCTGGGCGAAAGTCTTTCACGCCATTTAACAGCATCGATATGAAAATCTGGTGGTAATTTCCGATATTATGGCGATGGTGATTATGCAACCAGTTATACACCAAAAAACAATGTTCATGTAATTGTGAAGAGTATTTGATAAAAAATGGCGATTAATCTACAAGAATGAGTAATAATTATTATTCCCGTATTTATTAGATTGGCATAATTACAATTATATAGTTTGGGTACCTCCCGGGGATCTGTAATTTACGATTGCAATTAAATTTGGTGTAGTAACATGAAATGAGTGATTATTAACTTTAAATCATATATTTCTTATTCAAATTAATCAAATCACTCATATAAAGTTGCTTTTGTGAGCTGCAATAAAATTTTTTGATCTGCTCAGTTATTTCCAGAAATATAATATCAATTAGATTGTCATCTTTTGCGCATGCGCATGTTTAAATATTGAATAATTGTGTGACAGAACATATGATTTCCATGAAAGTATCTATTATCTATATTGCACAGTGCAAAATAATTAAATATATATTAAATATAAATTACTTTACGTCCTATTTAATTCATTGACACCTGTACCACATATAAATATAAATAATACATACGTAAATAGTAAACTTATAATTATGAGTCATTATTTGTTTACTTAATAATATAGGCACAAATATTACTGTGAATTGTACTGAATACAAGATAATGGGCATAAATATTTGACAAGTAATCATAAATACTATTATCAGCCTTATATCAAGGGGAAAATATTTACTTTTTATTTTTAAATGTATTGTTCAACTGGTTGCGGAGTAAAAACACAGATTTCATAACGTAAGAAACAAAATTTCATATTTTTCTCTTTTAAAGAGATGTATATATTGACATCAATTATTTGCCAACTAACAATTAATTGCATTGAGTTGATATGAATCACGTACGCATCTATAAATCAATTTTCTGCATCATTTCATCGTTTGCATCCGTTGCGCAACTAATTACTATCGACTGTATGCATCGTGATGTACGAAAATGTTTAAATATTTGAATAAACAATTACGCATGCGGGGTACATGTTATAGTTAAACGAATGACGAATGTGTTCATGGTCACCGATGCAGGCCCGTTCAAACGAGCACAAACCGTGAATCGATCGAAACAGCCGAAACTGCCTGTCCGCGCCGCACGCTGAGCTCAGCTGCTCTCAGCAGCAGTCAAAGCAATGAAAATCGAGTGAATCGCTGCACGGTCTCTGCATGGTACCGGTCACTAGTAGTGAATAATCTGTGGTACCAGTGCAGTGGCTCACATCAGCTCGCACGACTGTGTGTAGTGTGTTGTGTTGAAGTGCAGCGCTCGAAAACCCAACCCGATCGGCATCGTCGCTCCCCGCGTTCGCCATGAACGCCAACGACCCGAGCGGGCCGGCGCGCACTGCGTGTGCGCCGTCCGGTAAGCCCGCACCAGCCCGCGCGGTCACGAACCCGCTTCTTCGCTGCTCGCCTTTCCGCGCAGCCCCTCCCGCCATCGTCTAGCGCTCTTGTCACGGTGCTGGCCGTTGCGGAGCAATTGGGTGGTGCGCTCGCTTGACGTGCGTTTTATTTCGGATCGGAATAATAATAACTAGTGTGACGAACATGTACGCGGTGCGCGGCGCATCGGTTATGCATCGGGCGTGAATCTGCCGTACTCGATTTTGCATTCGCGGCGACCATCATTGATACGAGCGCGCGCTTTCTTCGTGATCAAATATGAAAGCATTGTCGATAACAAGTGCATGTATGACCACGACGACGACGACGAGGCGTTGAATTTTGTGCTACCGTGTCCGAAGAATAATGCCGCTTGGACGACTTGTTATGGATCGCAACAGCGCGGCGGCCTTCGTCGCTATCGCAATTGCGTGCAGCGTCATCTTCGGCGTCGTCGCCAATCCCCAATTCGAACATGATGACCCTGGTAAATAAAACAAACAAAGAATATCCTTCCGTTTTGCTGCCTGCGGTTGTGATTTTCGCATATTTTCATCTAAATATAGGTTGTTTGCTCGTTCATTTACAATGCCTATAACTGTGTATGAGTTACGTCCGGAGCGGCAACTGCGTACTGCGCTCGCCCGCAGCTTGCATGCAATATACGTCAATAACCCGGCCGAAATCCTGAAGGAAACTCTCGTTTGACTACGCCCCCGTGATCCTCAATTGTATTCAATCAACCAATGCGCACATACGTACACCGTTGCATATCAACAACTGAGTAATTGCAGTTGACATTGTTGGCCTCAATTAAATATTTATTGTTTTTTTCAGTGCCAAGTAAACCCCGCAATTTGACAGTGCTTGACATCTCGTCTGATCGCATTTTTTTAACGTGGACTGAGCCCGAGAAGAAGAACGGAGCTATCGAAGGATATCGAGTGTACTATGTTCAGGGGAATTTGACAGATGTGCAGTCAATTCAAGAAACAGGACCTATTATTCACTATAATCTGACTAAATTAAGTATGTATTTAAATATCCTCTTCTATGAATTTAAATTAATTACATATTTCCAATTGGAAATGATTGCAGAACCTAACACAGAATATGAAATATTTGTGAAAGCCTACACATCAAAACATGAGGGTAATAAGTCTGAAGAAGTATACAACAAAACAGATATTCCTGGACCTGGACAGCCTAAAATTTTGAACTTGACTTGTGAACCGTCAGACACCATCTATATCAAATGGGCACGTCCGTTGAGTTACTTCCACAGTGTGGACTTCTACAACGTGTTTGTGCATGGCGGCGCATTTTTCGAGAACATCATGCTGCCGACGAGCACCGAACATTTGGAAACTTCGGTAATTAAAGTCAATAGCGTAAAATTGCGCTCGGTTTCTAATTGCTGCAATTGTTTTAATTGTGATTTTAGTACTCGATTAAAAATGTCACTCCACATACTCTGTATGAGGTTCGAATTCGGGCGTCCACCCGAAGCCCGATGACTGGGAAAGTTGTCGACGGCGAGACGTCTGATCCCAAGATGGTGAATATCGTTCCTGACTGCGATAAGTTCGAACCGATAATGCGACGTACACATCATCAACTTAGCGCGGGCATGATTGCTGGAGCCATTTGCGCTGCATTTGCTTTCTTGTTAGCTATATTTTCATTCATCATTTGGAGGTATGTGTTGGCAACCACATTAATAATCTGTTCATGTTAGTTTAAAAATATTTATTTATTTTTTATTTATTCTAGGAAATGTTTTCGTGCATCCTATTACTATTTGGATGACCCGCCATGCTCAGTGCCAACAGCATCCTTAGACTGGAATGCGCCAGCAGATGATGGTGGCGATTCCAAAGGCGCTATTCCAGTGAACATGTTCAACAAACACGTGGCTGAGTTGCATGCCGATGGTGATATTGGCTTCAGCAAGGAATATGAAGCTATTCAAGCTGAGGCCAACAACGACGAGCACGCCTCAGTGAACTCTCAACTGCCCGACAACAAAAGCAAGAATCGATATCTCAACATCATTGCATGTAAGTGACATATTTTGACGTTTGGCGTGATCGTACTTACAATCGAGCTTGCTCTTTACCACTCTCCACAGATGATCACAGCCGTGTACAGTTGCTGCAAATGCCCGGACAAAAGAAGAACGATTACATCAACGCGAATTACATCGATGGTTTTCTCTGGTCCAAAGCGTACGTTGGCACACAAGGCCCTCTGCCATCGACATTCGATTGCTTCTGGCGCATGGTGTGGGAGCAGCGAGTGAACATCATTGTGATGATTACAAATTTAGTTGAGCGTGGAAGGGTGAGTAGTATTCTTTGCTTTCATATCTCAGAGTATTGAATACTATTTATTGTTATTAGGCTTCATTATATTTTCCTCACTCCAAGTTCGGTAGCGAACATTTTGAGGTATACAAGTGTTTGTGTGGTGTTTTGCTTGTCACTATCTTGTACACATTGTGTTAATTGCCGTTTATTTTTGATTTTATTTTATTAACCCAAATTATTCCCATGCTACTACGTTGGCGAACAGTGTTCTTAATATTTATTTTTACTTTACAGAGAAAATGTGATATGTATTGGCCCAAGGAGGGTGTAGAAACTTACGGCGTAATCCAAGTGAAACTAGTCAAAGAGGACGTAATGTCAACATACACTGTGAGGACGCTGCAAATTCGCCACCTTCGTGTAAGTATACATTCTTTTTATTAACGTGTAATGCGTAAACATCAAACAATGTATATAACTCGATGCAGTGAAAAACGAACATACGAATTAATTGAATTGAATCCGTTTGGCTGACTGCCAAGTAAATAATCCGCACTTTGCCGATTGCTACACGAACATAACTATTGGGTTTTACCAACTTTAATCTGTTTTATTTTTGTGTAGATCAAGAAGAAGAAGGCGGCGATGAATGAGAAACTAGTTTATCAGTATCATTACACCAATTGGCCCGATCACGGCACCCCTGACCATCCACTGCCTGTGCTGCACTTTGTCAAGAAATCGGCGACTGCAAACCCGCCCGACGCCGGACCCATCATCGTGCATTGTAGTGCAGGCGTCGGACGTACAGGCACCTACATTGTTCTGGATGCCATGTTGCGTCAGATACGCATCCGCAGCGAAGTAAACATATATGGTTTCCTGCGGCACATTCGTACCCAGCGCAATTTCCTCGTGCAGACAGAAGAACAATATATCTTCATTCACGACGCGCTGCTTGAGGCAATCGAGTCTGGCGAGACGAACATCAGCCGCGAGCAGTTCCCCAAGTACGTGCAGATTCTGCAGGACGAGACGCTGGAGGAGAAGTGCCAGCCGTGGAAGCCGCTCGACTATCAGTTTAAGCTTGCAACAAGCTTCCAGCCAAAGGACTTCAATCTGGTGTCCTCTAACAAAGTGATAAATCAACCAAAGAACAGACGGGCGGACATATTGCCGGTGGAAAGTTCGCGTGTTCATCTCACACCAAAACCCGGAGAGGACGGCTCTGATTATATCAACGCTACCTGGATACAGGGTTTCCACAGTCTTCGGGAGTTCATCATCACGCAGCATCCGCTCAAGAGCACCATAAAAGACTTTTGGCAGATGGTCTGGGATCATAACGCGCAGACAGTTGTGATGCTTAGTATTATCGATAATCAAGTACGTTCCTTTTAACATCCCTACAATTTTCTTATTTTACAACATCACTTGCTTTCATTGCGCACATTTCAGGACTTTGAAGTATTCTGGCCAGTTGATCAGGATACGATAGACGCTGAGAACTACAAAGTGAAATTAGTCAACGAAGTAGCACAATCCTCTTATGTTACCAGAGAGTTTACGATGCAATCGCTCCAGGACGACTATGAGTTACACGTGCGCATGATCCATAGCACAAATTGGCCGCACTTGTGCTCCACAGCTAGCGAAATATTTTACTTGCCAAATACCGTACAAAGTGCACAACTAGGGTATCAAAATGGACCGATCGTAATTGTCGACAGGTGAGCTCTCATCAAATTTGTGGGCTGATGTATAAAATGTTTCTATTGTTTTATCTAGGTATGGCGGCACGGAGGCAGCTGAGTTCTGCGCATTGAGCACACTGCGCAAACATCTGATGTACGACAACCATATAGACATTTACATGTACACGAAACTGTTCCATAATCGCCGGCCGGGCATCTGGGGTTCTGTGGACGACTATCTGCGCATGCATCTTGCCCTGCAGACCCTCTGCAGTCCACCGGACGGTGCTCCCGATCTGTATGCGACGACGAACGGCGCTGTAAACGGTTCGCTCAGCAACGACAGCGTGCGCGTGCCGCCCGAAGGTATGGAGGCAGTGGGGCCCAAACTCACGGTCACTTAAATATCACAACGCAAACCCGCTTTGGTGTACATATTCGCTTTTTACGACTAGTGTAATGCCGTACACGATCATACCTTTTTGTACATGAACGCACGCACACATTCGATTCAATCCTCGTTTTGTTTTCCTTCGACTGTGAAGTAATCATGCTCTTTTTATACCCCTAACATTGATGATAGACCAACAAATTCTTCAACGAAGAAGATGTATGCAGTTTATTGCACATGTATTACAAGTCGTCGACGTTAGATTGATGTGGCACGCTACGACTCAAATTGATCAAGTTATCGCAAATAACTAGCGTCATTCGACAATTTTATGTAACACTATTACGTTTGAGCAACGTACGATTAGTTGAAACTTACAAATAGGCAACATAGATATGACTGCATTAAATAATTTTGAAATGCCTAGCTCAGCATTTGATTGCATTCGATACAAGTCGTGGGTGTTTAATCATCAAGTATGTTTGTTGTGTCTGCTTAATCACTTAATCATTGTTCATTCAGAAATCAATATCAAGTGCTGGGAATTTGCATCGACGCATGTCAAACATATTAACATTATCAGATTGCAATGAATGCATGCATGTGTAATGTATGAGTGGAAGCAAATCCCCGCCAGCCAACTTTGCGTTTCTCATGAATCAATCGAGTGAAATTTGTATTTTGTTTTAATTTACAGAAGCTCGACTAATACCTGTGGGCACACGCAAGTTCCAAATCTAATCGAATGTTTTTTATCTTCAATCCATTGTGCTCTTTTTAGTATGACAGCGTTTACTAAACACGAGCGATGCAAAAACGTTAGTACTTTTTATTACAAAATGATCGAAATTAAATTATTAATATCTTGTAAATACTTTATCACTTTTTGTACCTATCTACTAAACGATAAACGCGTTCATTTTTTACCAATATTTATATACATACATTTAAGCTAATTGTATACATACTTTTAATTGAGAATTGTACATTATTCTTAAGGAGGGCGAAATGATGGAATATTACAACGTAATTGAATACTGCGAATAGTGCTAGAATATTATCGCTATGAAATTAGTGCAAAAAAGTTGCATGATTTAATGGAATTAAACATGTTGTAGAGTATATATAAATATGAAACTAAATTCGGCTCTATATGATGAAACGATAATACGCCAATGTACTGTACTGAGATTTATATTAATCTATTGAAACTCTATCATCTGTCTAGATAATGTTTTAACAGAGCTAATGATGACGAGATGGACACGTAGATCATTAAGCTAATATTTAAACAAAAATGTGCTAAAATTTAATGAATTTCATTAGTATTCAATGCAAATATGTAAGATTAACCGATGTGCATCACTACTAATGGCGTAAATGAAGACAATGTTGGTCATGGATACGAAATAATGTGTGAATGCAATGTATAAATATTGTAGTTATGTGTATAAAAGAGCTCCTAGGATGATGAATTGAAGATACTTATACAAAATGTGCAGTGTAGCATATTAATCCAATATTTATGTAACTGTATAGACTTAGTTTTTATATCTACATAAGATTTATTTATATAAATTATGAGTACATCGATTCATGCAAAACCACCTCACCCTTATGAATCTGGACCAATTTAGAATAATTACTTGAGTTGGAATTCAATTCAGATATACAACAAAAATGATTTCAACACGCATGAAGGGCGGGTGATTGCACACACACACAAATATGGTATTCGAATAGAAGGGTATACAGTTAATTAGTAGGTCTGATGTGGTCCCATCGGAGACATTTGAACTGCTCAGATATTTTAGAAAGAACTCATTTATAGGATGGAGAAAGCTCGACACGGTTCGGTGTCTGTTGAGTTGAAATTTCGCCATAAATTGTCAACCTTCAGTCATAATTCACAAATTGCGCACCTTGCTGAATATGTAGCATCATATAGACATTGTACTGCTGTTGTTTTCCGAAGATATTTGATGTGCTTTTGATAGAATAGTAATCCGTCCACCAGCCGACACATTTCTCTTTCAACTCAAAATCAACAAGTCTGAATGCATCTGTAACTAGCTCTAAACTAAGAAGTTAGCAATGTTTATCTTCGGGGGAGGCGCATTACCAACTCACGTGTATCGGCATTTTCAAATGTACAGTCGAATACGATACTAATATGTAAGCGAATGATTCTTGAACAATTGTTGTTAGAGTAAGAAAAAATGGCAGCATGCACCGAATCCGTAATATATTATGAAACTCTTTAAATCCATTCGGAACATTTGTTTGGATGTGTGATAATACAACACGTTATTGCCGTATTTTTATGTTCGTTATGTATATTGCCATTATACCCACGTAGATGTATAGAAGATCTATTACTTTACTGATTTATTTGATTTTATATATACATGTGTGTTAATACATTATTCTATGCAAAATCGACGAAATTAGTGTAAGAGAAACAACGCGCAACAATTGTTTTCTGTTGCAACGCGAAATGGCATAAAACTCAACATGGATGCATACGTTGTTTCATATGTCTTCGCTATCATTTCATTGTGAACTCTCCTAATTTCCTGTAATTGTCAAGTTATAAAATATAAAATGTCAATACAATAAAGATGTTCATTGTCTTTTAATTTACCGATTTTCTACTGTAAAATGCCATCTCCCGATCCAGCTTTTTAAAGTTTTCAGCGTGAAGGAAATAGTATCAATATAAAATCAATTTTGAATTTTATATTGTACTAAATTAATTTAAAAACGGTATCACTAGTGTCATCTATCCATGAGTAACTAAACTACGTCGCTATTCAAGATTGCTGGAGATTCAGCCTACTGCACTTTCTGCGATCCTAATATTCAAATGATTTTGTGTATGAATTTCATCGGATTTCTCAACAAAATTTTGTCGAGGAAATACGAAAATTGAGCTGCTCATCAGTTCGTGATATCAGGAACGCAGAAAGTGGACATAGATAATTCCCGTCAGATTTTTGTTGGATTTCCATGAGTTATTATGATTAATAGGGGATATAGGGATAATGTTAAGCAAATAATTACTTAAATAGTCGATATAGATAGAATTAAATTAGCTTGCAGAATACGAAAACAGAATTTAAAAATTCCAACTTTTAATTTCGACCATAAAAAAGAGAAATCTTTTGCCATTTTTTTAATAAAATCTTTTCTTTAAAAATTTTTTGTGCCATTTTCATCATTTTTTAATTATGATGCCATCTTGTAGAGAATCTTTCAAGGATCAAGAATATGATGTTCTTTCTTTTCTAGCCCTATTAGTTGACGAGATAATTACTATTTTAATCTTCTAAGTTAGACTATTCCGACGGCTTGCATATGTTTCATTAAAATTGCTAATAGGGCCTAAACGGTTAATGTTAGCAGAAAATATTACTGAAATAATCGATGGGGAATTAAATTAGGTATCAGAAGCCGAAAACAGAATTTAAAAAATTTGATTTTTAATTTTCAACATTCCTAATTAGAAGATTAAATCGTAATTATCTCGACAAGTAAATGGGCTAGAAGAAAAAGAACTATATATTCTTGATCCTTGAAAAATTGTCTACAAGGTGGCATCATTATTGAAAAATCATCAAAATGGCACAAAAAATTTTTAAAGAAAAGATTTTATTAAAAAAATGGCAAAAGATTTCTCTTTTTTATGGTCGAATTTAAAAATTGGAATTTTTAAATTCTGTTTTCGGATCCTGATAGACAATTTAATTCTGCATCGATTATTTTTGTAACTTTTTTTGTTATTATTAACCGTTTAGGGCCTATTTGCAAATTTCAATGAAAACTCTATTCGACATAAAAAAGAGAAATCTTTTGCCTTTTTTATGACGAAATCTTTTTTCACCAAATTCACCTTCTATAATAATTTGAATTTTTAAATTCTGTTTTCGAATTCTGAATATAGATTAAATTCTGAAACGGAAATTAGTAACATAATTATAGATTAAAGCCTTATTGGCATGTAAAATCCAATTTTTGTATTAAAATTGTAAATAGGGCCTAAACGGTCAATGTTATATTCTGTTTTCGTATTCTGCAGGCTAATTTAATTTTATATCGATTATTTAAGTAATTATTTACCTAACATTATCCATATAGGCCCTATTAATCATAACAAACTAATGGAAATCCAACAAAAATCTGGCGGGAATTATCTATGTCCACTTTCTGCGTTCCTAATATCACGAACTGATGAGCAGCTCTTTCGTATTTCCTCGACAAAATTTTGTTGAAAATCCGATGAAATTCATACACAAAATGTTTTGAATATTAGGATCGCAGAAAGTGCAGTAGGCTGAATCTCCAGCAATCTTGAATAGCGGCGTAGTTTAGTTTCTGGTGGATAGATGACACTAGTGATACCGTTTTTAAATTAATATTGATACAATATAAAATTGATTCTGAACTATTTCTCATATCTTGCAGTGACATTTCCATTAAAGTTTAAGGGATTTATAGATTAATTAAAGGAGTAACGATGTTGTGGACTATGTTCTCCGTTGGGGACAAATAACACAATAAAACTTTATAGATAAAAGTATAAAACTACAATTTAATTCAAACATGTAGAATATACACCCATCACAAACTCAATTTCTCAATATATACAAAAATTATATCAATATCAGCTTCAAAATGTTGTAAATTCATTCCATCGTATTTCGAATCATCATCAACATCAATCTTCATTTTCTTGGACACTATAAATCAGAATGAATAACAGAATAGTAAAATATAAAATATTATAGATTGCCAAAATACAACATACGTTCTTGGTATTTTAGTCCAATTGACATATCCATCTTCAGTAATCAAAACATCATCTTCAATACGCACTCCACCAGTACCACGGAAGCTCTCCAGTTGGTGCTTATTGATAAAGTTGGCCATTTCAGGAATAGCCAATGTTTCATCCAACAACTAGAAAATATTATGTAAATAAAATATACAGATTCATAAATTATATTAATTATTCTTACCGGATCCATAAAGACTCACATTCAGGGCACCGCACGAAGGTAGCGGTAGAAGTGACTCCCATTCAGGGCACCGTAGGAGGGTAGCGGTAGTAATGACTCCTAGAAGGGCGTGTTGCATCATTAATATTAACGTTTATGTTAATTTTAATGCAGAATTCATCTGACTCCAAGGTACGGCGAATACTGTAAAAAAAAAAACATAAGTTAAAACAACTTGCATAAGCATGCACACAAGACAGGATAAAATATCACCATTTTTGTTCAAAATTAATATTAAACGCGGAAATAGTATATGCCATTACTATACGAGTAGTAGCGAATGACAATTAAATAGTAGAATAATCGAATATAATAAAAATTTAGTAATTTTTTTAAATAGGTACAAACGGAAATCTGAGATACTTGATACTTTTTTTCGACAATTTTCAATAATTAATATCTCTTAAACTAAAGCCGATAGCTACCAACGAATTGTTGATTATGATAGATAGGAAAATTCTCTATCAGATAAAAGTATAAAATAATTATATTTCCTACAGTAAAAGGTCGAAAAACGCGACTAAAAGTGCTAAAAAGTGACATTTTTCATTTTTTGCCCATTTTATTCAAATGCGAATATCTCGTAAACTAAAAGAGATAAATAGGATCTGATCGCAGCGTTTTAATCTACGGACTATTCTCAATCAGATAGGATAGTTAATACGGAAATCTGAGAGATGAAATTTTAATTCTTAAGAAAAAATTGCCAAGGGGGGGTGCTTGATATTTTTTTTCGACGATTTTTGATAATTAATATCTCGTAAACTAAAACCGATAGCTACCAACGAATTGTTGATTATAATAGATTGGAAAATTGTCTATCAGATAAATAAATAAAACAATTACATTTCCTACAGTAAAAGGTCGAAAAACGCGATTAAAAGTGCTAAAAAGTGGCATTTTGCAATTTTTGCCCATTTTATTCAATCGCGAATATCTCGTAAACTAAAAGAGATAAATAGGATCTGGTCGCAGTGTCGTAATCTACGAACTATTCTCTATCAGATAAGATAGTTAAAACGGAAATCTGAGAGATGAAATTTTAATTCTTAAGAAAAAATTGCCAAGGGGGGGGGTGCTTGATACTTTTTTTCGACGATTTTTGATAATTCATATCTCGTAAACTAAAACCGATAGCTACCAACATTGTTGATTATGATAGATTGGAGAATTGTCTATCAGATAAATATATAAAACAATTACATTTCCTACAGTAAAAGGTCGAAAAACGCGATTAAAAGTGCTAAAAAGTGACATTTTGCAATTTTTGCCCATTTTATTCAATCGCGAATATCTCGTAAACTAAAAGAGATAAATCGGATCTGATCGCAGCGTTTTAATCTACTTACTATTCTCTATTAGATAGGATAGTTAAAACGGAAGTCTGAGAGATGAAATTTGAATTCATAAGAAAAATGGGTAAATGAGGGTCAGCTATACATTCATCCACGTAAGGTGCCTTGTACACGAGTCACTTCTCTCGACACCCTGCTACGTTAAACCAAATGAGATACAATTGCGATTAATTGCAATGTATCTAAATATACTCGTACAAGGAAAAATCAACGTTCTTGACATATTCGAGTCAATATACGATAATAGTGAATAACTTTTAAACTAAAAGCGATAGCAACCAACGGATCGAAAGTTATTAAAGATTTGAAAATGTATTAGATAAGAATTTAATTTCGTGGAATAAAAGGACCAAAAACGTGACTTATCGCAATTTTTATCTGCCCTTTTTGAATTGCGAATATTTCCTAATTATGTCCGACCGTGCCAATCGTCTTATTTTGTTCACAGGTAGGTAGTACGTGATAAATAGAGAATTTGTTTATAAACAGCATATGTAAATTTGACCAAAAATATAATTGAATTATAAACTTACCAGTGTACAGCTTATCGGACTTCCAGGCACAACGAGTGATGTAACTAAACGAAAACATAAATTAAAACAAAAATATTTCATACAATTGAATTATGTTATAATTAACAATCAACACATATACAATCTGTGCTGTTTAGTTAAATATTACCTACACCAGCCTGATGGATCTTTCTTAATGATGAGAATCAACATGGTGGTGATACATATCCGATTAATTTAGTAACTAACACCAAACACAACGCCGAGTGAAGAATGTTATCAAATCCACTATCACGTGTCTTGTAATATACATAACAAACGCGATCAAAAACCGGCATTTCCGAACATTATACAAATTACTATAGTCGCAAAGTACAAATAAATAGTCGACTGATCTTTGAGTATAACACAAATTTAGAATATTGAAGTCCGAATTAACGATATAAGTCTCTAAACACAACTGAATTAAGCAGTGACCGGCACGAAACTGGTTTCAATCCATCGATAGTGCATGCCAAAACTGCGTAAACAACGACGGGACAGTATATGATAAGAAAGCGAGAAGTGCGCAAACACGGCGCATCACTGGCATGCGACCTTCGGCACGTTACCTGCAATCAACACTAAACTAAGATGCGTAAACGTGCGGCATGAGAGCATGGCAACGACGATACGAGGGACTGCGATAAGAAAGTGTAAATTGCGTCCAAAACACACACAATTCGAATGCCCACGTTTGCCGATAAATAAAGAAATAAACATTGTAAGTCTATTATATGAATTTTAGTTCATGCTGGTGCCATCTATGAATGATGGAGATGGTAGTCTCGCAATTTAGATAATTAAAAATAATGCAAAATTAAAATTTGATTTATGCATCTAATTCTAACATCTTATTGCAAAATTGAGCTAAAGTCACGGTTCTTTCATAAACTAAAAGTAATAGACAAAAACGCATAATTGATTTTTAATCAACGGGAAATTTTTATAAGATAAGCTAGTTAATTGAGATAATTGCTATCAAAATCTATGCTTCTTATTTTCTCTATTTTCTCTTATGTATTATTTTTATCTCTTTGCTTCTTGACTTAACTAGCTTACATTATAAAGAATTTTCGTAGACTAATAATTTGTGTTGTTATTAGTGTTTAAGCTTTAGGGTAGAATTAGCACAAACTTGTTTTATCCTTCTTACCTTTCCGTATGATTTATGCCTTAATCTTGTTCAATGGTGCAATTACTTCATTTACAATGCGCACCGAAACATACATAATCAAGATAAACATTATCTTAATTATTGCTGTTTAATAATCGTTATTGTTACTCTACTTATGTAAAACCGGCTAATATTAAATGAAAAATAAATCATGTTTAACATTCAACTTTTAAAATTAATTATATTCATCCGAACTTTACATTTTCAGGTCGTTTTAACTTAATCTTTAACATTGAAAAATAAAATCTATCTCTTTAAACAAACACTGCATTACACTATCACATACACACACATTACACATACCTTACACATATCGGAAGGGCGGTGCAGCCGATGAACACATTTTGCCATTGTTACCTAGATTATTTGTTTTGATTTATTAAAAATAATCGCGATAACATTAACCCGGCTCAGGGATGGTTATTGAAAACTTTCTACCTGGGTAATTCTTGTCAGGCGCGCCCACGTCGCAGGGGTGGCCATTATCTTAATTACTGTTTTATTAATAATCACATTAAGATGGTGACTAAGTTCTGACAACGATCTCTTCTCATGGGTATAAAGTGTGTATTTTGTTTAAATTTTCAGTAACATATGATTTTGGTTCCTTTTCAAAATATTTAAAGTCATGTAAAATACAAACATAAATTCAGTATTTCTTTTGTTCCACGTTTTACCCAAGATAGCTAATTTTATTTTTGTGTTTACCAAGCACGGCTTTGCTTGTACAACGTTGGAAGACCTAACCTCAGTTTGATTATTCTTGGTTGAAGTATGAAAGCATTATTGGGAGTGCAACGAAGATATTAAGATGATTGAGGATGATTTAAGGATACGGTGTGGGACAGGAAAATGTCTTCAAAAAACTAACTGTAAGTACTACCTGTTTAATAAAACCTAATCTCATATTAAATTAATTCAAATATCTTTGTGTTTTTCAAGGACTAATTTAGACTTGTTTTAGTGATTTTGCTCCTGAGTCTGACATTGTAGAAGGACTATTCTTGCATCAGATTGTAAGTAATTAATTCCTTTATCGTATTCCTAAATAACTTTTGTGATTATCTCACAAATTGACCCCAAAATTGCATTTTTATATTCGAAGGACTAATTTTTGCTTGTTTTAGGGATTTTGCATCCGACTCTGACATCGTAGAAGGACCATTCTTGCATCAGATTGTAAGTAATTAATTCCTTTATCATATTCCTAAATATCTTTTGTGATTATCTCACAAATTGACCCCAAAATTGCATTTTATGTTCAAACGACTAATTTTTGCTTGTTTCAGGGATTTTGCACCTGAGTCTGACATTGTGGAAGGACCATTCTTGCATCAGATTGTAAGTAATTAATTCCTTTATCATATTCCTAAATAACTTTTGTGATTATCGCACAAATTGACACTAAAATTGCATTTTTATGTACGAAGGATTAATTTTTGCTTGTTCTAGGGATTTTGCATCTGAGTCTGACATCGCAGTAGAACCATTCTCGCATCAGATTGTAAGTAATTAATTCCTTTATCATATTCCTAAATAACTTTTGTGATTATCTGACAAATTGACCCCGAAAATTGCATTTTTATGTTAGAAGGACTAATTTTTGCTTGTTTTAGGGATTTTGCATCCGAGTCTGACATCGTAGAAGCACCATTCTTGCATCAGATTGTAAGTAATTAATTCCTTTATCATATTCCTAAATAACTTTTGTAATTATTTCACAAATTGACCCCCAAAATTGCATTTTTATGTTCGAAGGACTAATTTTTGCTTGTTTTAGGGATTTTGCATCCGAGTCTGACATCGTAGAAGGACCATTCTTGCATCAGATTGTAAGTATTATATTTTTTATCATTTGCCTAAATAACTTTTGTGATTATCTTACAAATTGACCCCCAAAATTGCATTTTTATATTGAAAAGACTAATTTTGTATGGTTTTAGGATTTTGCACCTGAGTCTGACATCGTGGAAGGACCAGTCTTTATGCTTGTGTGTTTTCTTTAATAAAGAATATTTTTAAGTTTTTAATTATAATTATTTCTGTTATTTCTACCTGATCACATATTTAACGATCCTTTAAACCATTTATTTTGAAAAGTGCATGCTACTGCCATCTATCAATTAGAAACTACAACAACCGAAAGTTTTGAGCTTCGGGCCGGTGCCACCAGAGGCAGCACATTACTAGTTACCGCGAAAACTTTATCAGCCTCCTCAACTTTCTGCGCTCCTAATATTCCATCTTTATTTTGTCGACTCTGGAAGGCAAAATGACACAAAATTTGGACTCGAAACAGTCGAAACTCAGGTTTTGGTATTCGGATCGCAGAAAGGGTGAGGAGGTATGTAAATAAAAGAGGCGGTAAATAGTAATGGCGGGTAAAATGAATGTTTAAAAATCTTTATTCAGCATATTCGGTTTTCGAATTCTGAAGGATCTCGACAACTAAGAGGGCTAGAAAATTAAGAACTACATTGTATTGATCCTTGAAAAATTCTCTACAAGGTGGCATCATTATTGAAAAATCATCAAAATGGCACAATAAATTTTTAAAGAAAAGATTTTATATAAAAAATGGCAAAATATTTCTCTTTTTTATGGTCGAAATTAAAAGTTGGAATTTTTAAATTCTGTTTTCGAATTCTGATAGCCAATTTAATTCTACATCAATTATTTTGGTATTTTTTTTTGCTAGCATTAACTGCTTAGGCCCTATTTGCAATTTTATAGAAAAAATTGAAAATGTACTGAAACAAACTGAAATAATATAGGTATATAATAATTTGACGGAAACTATCTATGTCCACTTTCTGCGTTCCTAATACTACAGACTGATGAGCAGCAACATTTCAGCAATTTTCTCGACAAATTTTGTCGAGAAATCCATTGAAATTGGTCGCAAAATTCATTTGAATATTAGGATCGCAGAAAGTGCAGTAGGTTGAATCTCTTGAATAGCGGCGTAGTTTAGTTACTCGTGGATAGATGACACTAGTGATACCGTTTTTAAATTAATATTGATACATTATAATATTGATTTTGAACTATTTCTCATATATAGCAGTGGCATTTCCATTAAAGTTTAAGGGCTAATGGATTAATTAAAGGAGTAACGATGTTGCGAGCTATGTTCTAAGCTTGGAACAAATAAAACAATAAAAATTTATAAAACTACAATTTTATTCAAACATGTAGAATCAGAAACTCATTTTCTTAATATATACAACATTTTTAACAATACAAGCAAGAAAACATGATAATAATATGCAACTATATAAAGCTCTGTTTATAACTTTTAACAAAATAAACAAAATGATATTCTTGAGAATTCATTCAATCGTTTTCGGAATCATCATCAACACCGGCAATCCAATCTTCAATTTCTTAGACACTATAAACCAGATTGAATAACAGAATAGTAAAATGTAAAATATTATAAATTACCAATATATAACATACGTTCTTGGTATTTTAGTCCAGTTGACACATCCATCTTCAGTAAAGGAAACATCATCCTCAATACGCACTCAGTACCCCGGAACCTCTCCACTTGCTCCTTATTGATAAACTTGGACATCTCAGGATTAGCCAATTCTTGATCCAACAACTGGAAAATATTTATGTAAATGAAATATACCTACACATACATAAATTAAATTAATTATTCTTACATGATCCATAAAGATTCCCATTTAGGGCACTGTACGAAGGTAGCGGTAGAAGTGACTCCCGTTCAAGGCACCGTACAATTTAGTGCAAGAACGGTTGCCCCAGGACATTGCGTTCGCCGGCTAGAACAAAAGAACCACAAAATTAGCTGACAAAAACACAAAAGGGAATTTTTGTAGGTTTTCCGAGAGTCATACCCACAAGTTATACAAGAAAATAATAAAGAATTTTAGTACCTACAATTTGGTGAGAAAACTGTTGTCTTACGACATTGTGTTCGCCCGCTAAATACAAAAAACCACAAGATTAGCCAACCAAAAACACAAAAGGGCATTTTGTAGGTTTCCCGCAGGTCAAACGCAGAAGTTAAACATGAAAATTATAAAGAATTTTAATACCTACAATTTGGTGAAAAACTGTTGTCTTACGACATCGCGTTCGCCCGCTAAATATTAAAACCACAAAATTAGCCGACCAAAAACACAAAAGGGCATTTTGTAGGTTTCCCGAGGGTCAAACTTACAAGTTATATATGAAAATTATAAAGAATTTTAATACCTACAATTTGGTAAAAAACTGTTGTCCTAGGACATCGCGTTCGCCCGCTAAACAGTAAAAACCACAAAATTAGCCGACCAAAAAACACAAAAAGGGCATTTTTGTAGGTTTCCCGAGGGTCAAACTCACAAGTTATATATGAAAATTATAAAGAATTTTAATACCTACAATTTGGTAAAAAACTGTTGTTCTAGGACATCGCGTTCGCCCGCTAAATACTAAAGACCACAAAATTAGCCGACCAAAAACACAAAAGGGCATTTTGTAGGTTTCCCGAGGGTCAAACGCAGAAGTTATACATGAAAATTATAAAGAATTTTAATACCTACAATTTGGTGAAAAACTGTTGTCTTACAACATCGCGTTCGCCCGCTAAATACTAAAACCACAAAATTAGCCGACCAAAAACACAAAAGGGCATTTTTGTAGGTTTCCCGAGGGTCAAACTTACAAGTTATATATGAAAATTATAAAGAATTTTAATACCTACAATTTGGTAAAAAACTGCTGTTCTAGGACATCGCGTTCGCCCGCTAAATACTAAAGACCACAAAATTAGCCGACCAAAAACACAAAAATGGCATTTTGTAGGTTTCCCGAGGGTCAAACGCAGAAGTTATACATGAAAATTATAAAGAATTTTAATACCTACAATTTGGTGAAAAACTGTTGTCTAACGACATCGCGTTCGCCCGCTAAATACTAAAACCACAAAATTAGCCGACCAAAAAGACCGCGTTCGCGTGTTATAATATAACCAAAGTACAATTCCTAGCGCAACGAGTACTATTGCGTATATGCGTATACACACAACAATCATTATAACTCGCGTTAGGGAATTTTCTCGCAATAAACTTCAATACAGGGAAATAAGGAATTAAATTCCGCATCTGGGAAAATTATTCCGAACTTAGTTTAAGACCGCGTTCGCGTGTTATAATATAACCAAAGTACAATTCCTAGCGCAACGAGTACTATTGCGTATATGCGTATACACACAACTATCATTATAACTCGCGTTAGGGAATTTTCTCGCAATAAACTTCAATACAGGGAAATAAGGAATTAAATTCCGCATCTGGGAAAATTATTCCGAACTTAGTTTAAGACCGCGTTCGCGTGTTATAATATAACCAAAGTTCAATTCCTAGCGCAACGAGTACTATTGCGTATATGCGTATACACACAACAATCATTATAACTCGCGTTAGGGAATTTTCTCGCAATAAACTTCAATACAGGGAAATAAGGAATTAAATTCCGCATCTGGGAAAATTATTCCGAACTTAGTTTAAGACCGCGTTTGCGTGTTATAATATTAAAAAGTACAATTCCTAGCGCAACGAATACTATTGCGTATATGCGTATACACACAACTATCATTATAACTCGCGTTAGGGAATTTTCTCGCAATAAATTTGAATACAGGGAAATAAAGAATTAAATTCCGCATCTGGGAACATTATTCCGAACTTAGTTTAAGACCGCGTTCGCGTGTTAGAATATTAACAAAGTACAATTCCTAGCGCAACGAGTACTAGTTTGTATACACACAACTGTCAATATACGTAACTCGCGTGGCGGAGTTTTTATACACATCAAAAGTAAATTTGACCGAAAAATATAATTGAATTATAAACTTACCAATGTACAGCTTATCGGACTGCCAGGCATGAGTGCTGTAACTAAACGAAAACATAAATTAAAACAAAAATATTTCATACATTTGAATTATGTTATAATTAACAATCTATCAAAATAAACAATCTATGCTGTTTAGTTAAAAAATACTTACATGAGCCTGATAGATCTTTCTGAATGAGGGCGATATATATCCGATTAATTTAGTAACCGACACTAAACACAACGCCGAGTGAAGAATGTTATCAAATCCACTATCACGTGACTTGTAATATACATAAGAAACGTTATCAAAACCGGCATGTCCGTACATTAAATAATATACTATACTCGCAGAGTACAAATAAATAGTCGATTGATCTGCGAGTATAACACAAATTTTGAATATTGATGTCCGAATAAACGATATAAGTCTCTCAAAACACAACTGGATTAACCAGCGACCGGCACGAAACTAGCTGCAATCCACCGATAGTGCATGCCGAAACTGCGTGAACAACGACGGGGCAGTATATGATAAGGAAGTAAGAGGTGCGCAAAAACGGCGCGTCGACGGCACGCGACCTTTATTCAATCGCGAATATCTCGTAAACTAAAAGAGATAAATAAGATCTGATCGCAGCGTCTTAATCTACGGACTATTCTCTATCAGATAGGATAGTTAAAACGGAAATCTGAGAGATGAAATTTTAATTCTTAAGAAAAAATTGCCAAGGGGGGGTGCTTGATACTTTTTTCGACGATTTTTGAAAATTCATATCTCTTAAACTAAAAGAGATAGCTACCAACGAATTGTTGATTATGAAAGATTGGAAAATTGTCTATCAGATAAAAATATAAAACAATTATATTTCCTACAGTAAAAGGTCGAAAAACGCGACTAAAAGTGCTAAAAAGTGACATTTTGCAATTTTTGCCCATTTTATTCAATCGCGAATATCTCGTAAACTAAAAGAGATAAATAAGATCTGATCGCAGCGTCTTAATCTACGGACTATTCTCTATCAGATAGGATAGTTAAAACGGAAATCTGAGAGATGAAATTTTAATTCTTAAGAAAAAATTGCCAAGGGGGGTGCTTGATACTTTTTTTCGACGATTTTCAAAAATTCATATCTCTTAAACTAAAAGAGATAGCTACCAACGAATTGTTGATTATGAAAGATTGGAAAATTGTCTATCAGATAAAAATATAAAATAATTATATTTCCTACAGTAAAAGGTCGAAAAACGCGACTAAAAGTGCTAAAAAGTGACATTTTGCAATTTTTGCCCATTTTATTCAATCGCGAATATCTCGTAAACTAAAAGAGATAAATAAGATCTGATCGCAGCGTCTTAATCTACGGACCAATCTCTATCAGATAGGATAGTTAAAACCGAAATCTGAGAGATGAAATTTTAAGTCTTAAGAAAAAATTGCCAAGGGGGGGTGCTTGATACTTTTTTTCGACGATTTTTGAAAATTAATATCTCTTAAACTAAAAGAGATAGCTACCAACGAATTGTTGATTATGAAAGATTGGAAAATTGTCTATCAGATAAAAATATAAAATAATTATATTTCCTACAGTAAAAGGTCGAAAAACGCGACTAAAAGTGCTAAAAAGTGACATTTTGCAATTTTTGCCCATTTTATTCAATCGCGAATATCTCGTAAACTAAAAGAGATAAATAAGATCTGATCGCAGCGTCTTAATCTACGAACTATTCTCTATCAGATAGGATAGTTAAAACGGAAATCTGAGAGATGAAATTTTAATTCTTAAGAAAAAATTGCCAAGGGGGGGTGCTTGATACTTTTTTTCGACGATTTTTGATAATTCATATCTCGTAAACTAAAACCGATAGCTACCAACGAATTGTTGATTATGATAGATTGGAAAATTGTCTATCAGATAAATATATAAAATAATTATATTTCCTACAGTAACAGGTTGAAAAACGCGACTAAAAGTGCTAAAAAGTGACATTTTGCAATTTTTGCCCATTTTATTCAATCGCGAATATCTCGTAAACTAAAAGAGATAAATAAGATCTGATCGCAGCGTCTTAATCTACGAACTATTCTCTATCAGATAGGATAGTTAAAACGGAAATCTGAGAGATGAAATTTTAATTCTTAAGAAAAAATTGCCAAGGGGGGGTGCTTGATACTTTTTTTCGACGATTTTTGATAATTAATATCTCGTAAACTAAAACCGATAGCTACCAACGAATTGTTGATTATGATAGATTGGAGAATTGTCTATCAGATAAATATATAAAACAATTACATTTCCTACAGTAAAAGGTCGAAAAACGCGATTAAAAGTGCTAAAAAGTGACATTTTGCAATTTTTGCCCATTTTATTCAATCGCGAATATCTCGTAAACTAAAAGAGATAAATAAGATCTGATCGCAGCGTCTTAATCTACGGACCAATCTCTATCAGATAGGATAGTTAAAACCGAAATCTGAGAGATGAAATTTTAAGATTTAAGAAAAAATTGCCAAGGGGGGGTGCTTGATACTTTTTTTCGACGATTTTCAAAAATTCATATCTCTTAAACTAAAAGAGATAGCTACCAACGAATTGTTGATTATGAAAGATTGGAAAATTGTCTATCAGATAAAAATATAAAATAATTATATTTCCTACAGTAAAAGGTCGAAAAACGCGACTAAAAGTGCTAAAAAGTGACATTTTGCAATTTTTGCCCATTTTATTCAATCGCGAATATCTCGTAAACTAAAAGAGATAAATAAGATCTGATCGCAGCGTCTTAATCTACGGACCAATCTCTATCAGATAGGATAGTTAAAACCGAAATCTGAGAGATGAAATTTTAAGTCTTAAGAAAAAATTGCCAAGGGGGGGTGCTTGATACTTTTTTTCGACGATTTTCAAAAATTCATATCTCTTAAACTAAAAGAGATAGCTACCAACGAATTGTTGATTATGAAAGATTGGAAGATTGTCTATCAGATAAAAATATAAAACAATTACATTTCCTACAGTAAAAGGTCGAAAAACGCGACTAAAAGTGCTAAAAAGTGACATTTTGCAATTTTTGCCCATTTTATTCAATCGCGAATATCTCGTAAACTAAAAGAGATAAATAAGATCTGATCGCAGCGTCTTAATCTACGGACCAATCTCTATCAGATAGGATAGTTAAAACCGAAATCTGAGAGATGAAATTTTAAGATTTAAGAAAAAATTGCCAAGGGGGGGTGCTTGATACTTTTTTTCGACGATTTTTGATAATTAATATCTCGTAAACTAAAACCGATAGCTACCAACGAATTGTTGATTATGATAGATTGGAAAATTGTCTATCAGATAAATATATAAAATAATTATATTTCCTACAGTAACAGGTTGAAAAACGCGACTAAAAGTGCTAAAAAGTGACATTTTTCAATTTTTGCCCATTTTATTCAATCGCGAATATCTCGTATACTAAAAAAGATAGAAGGGAACAAATCACAGAGTTTGAAACTACGGACAATTCTCTGTAAAATATGCTGATTAAATTGGAAATCTAAGAAATAAAATGATTACTCAAAAGAAAAAATGGGCAAAGGAGAGTCAGCCATGTAAGGTGCCCTGAACACGAGTCACTTCTATCGATACGCTGCTTCGGTTGGTTAGACTCAACTATACAATTGCAATTAATTGCAATATAACTAAACAAACATGGAAAAATCAACGTTCTTGACATATTCGAGTAAATAAACGGATTGAAAGTTATGATAGATTAGAAAATTCTGCATTAAATAAAAATTTTAAATAATTTAATTTGGTGGGATAAAAGAACCAAAAACGTGACTAAAAGTGCAATTTTTTGCCCTTTTTTCTATTGCGATTATCTCCTAATTATGTCCGACCGTGGCAGTCGTCTAATTTAGTTCACAGGTAGGTACAACGTGATAAATAGAAAACTTGTTTATAAACAGCAAATGTAAATTTGACCGAAAAAATATAATATAATATAATTGAATTATAAACTTACCAGTGTACAGGTTATCGGACGGCCAGGCACAACGAGTGCTATAACTAAACGAAAACATAAATTAAAACAAAAATATCTAATACAATGGAATTATGTTATAATTAACAATCAACACATATACAATCTATGCTGTTTAGTTAAATAATACTTACACGAGCCTGATGGATCACTAAACGAAAACATAAATTATCTAAATATAAAATATTTCCATACAATTACCGATTTTACCAAATATATGCGTATTCAGTATGAGAATCGGCTAACAATTTTTCAATCTAAGTGATAACACACTTTTTTAAATGGACAATCTTTTGTTTTTATTTTTTATAATGTGCTGTTTAGTTAGTAATTTAATCATTTTTATCCCGCTCAAAGAAAATTTTTATATGCGTACGTAGTCTGATGGATCTTTAAGTGATAAGGGTTGTTCACCCTTAATTTTGGTCGAAATTTTTTTGTTTTATTTTTAATGTGGCATTAAAATATACATACAACCCTAAATGTTTGGTTTCTTATCACCAACCCCTATTTTTATAATAAGTAAGTTACTTTTTGTCTACACTAAAATTTATCTAGAAACTTAAAATAATATATGGCAAAACAACGTTTGCCCGGTTAACTAGTATAGGTATATATACGATTCATTTAGTAACTGACTCCAAACACAACGCCGAGTGAAAAATGTTATCAAATCCACTATCACGTGACTTGTAATATACATAACAAACGCGATCAAAAACCGGCATTTCCGAACATTAAACAAATTACTATAGTCGCAAAATACAAATAAATAGTCAATTGATCTTCGAGTATAACACGAATAAACGATATAAGTCTCTCAAATCACGACTGGATTAACCTGCGACCGGCACGAAACTGGCTGCAATCCACCGATAGTGCATGCCGAAACTGCGTAAACAACGACGGAACAGTATATGATAAGAATGTAAGAGGTGCGCTAAAACGGCGCGTCGACCGCACGCGACCTTGTACGTGAATTTGCAATAGGCACATTACCTGTGATCTAAAGTAAAGTAGACTTCGCTGCATGCAGCAAGTTGATACGGCGCTAGGAGACAGCGCGCGGGACAAATGCGATAAAAACGTTGTTTACATCGAATCGCAGATTGTATACAAAACTATTCTCGTGCCGACGTTTGTCGATAAATATAAAAATAAGCCGTACAACTCGATTTTATGATTTATAGTGCATCCTAGTGCCATCTACGAATGCGACAGATACATGTCTCACAATTTAGACTATTATAATCAATAATTAATGTTTGTAGGTGTTTCCACTTTTGTAGGCAGTTCATGTTGTCAATTAACATGTAGAGCGTCTCTTAAACTATAACATGGCCTTTAGAAACTCACAAAATGTGTAGTAATAGCTTTTTTAAATTAATATTGATATTGATACAATATAAAATTGATTTTGACCTATTTCCCATATCTAGCAGTGGCATTTCCATTAAAGTTTAAGGGATTTATGGATTAATTCAAGGAGTAGTTTGGGACAAATAAAACGTTAAAAATTTATTGTTAAAAATATAAAATTACAATTTTATTCAAGGATGTAGAATATATACCCATCACATACTCAATTTCTCAATATATAGAGTAGCAACAAGAAAACAGGATAATAATATGTAATTATATAATGCTCTTTTTACAACTTTTAACAAAATAAACAAAAATGATATCAATAACAGCGTCAAAATGTTGTAAATTCATTCAATCGTATTTGGAATCATCATCAACACCGGCAATCCAATCTTCAATTTCTTGGACACTATAATCAGAATGAATTACAGAATAGTAAAATATAAAATATTATAAATTGCCAAAATATAACATACGTTCTTGGAACTTTAGTCCAGTTGACACATCCATTTTCAGTAATCAAAACATCATCCTCAATACGCACTCCACCAGTACCACGGAACCTCTCCAGTTGGTCCTTATTGATAAACTTGGCCATCTCAGGATTAGCCAATGCTTCATCCAATAACTGGAAAATATTTATGTAAATGAAATATACATATACATAAATTAAATTAATTTTTCTTACAGGATCAATAAAGTAGCACCCAGGCTCAATGGTCAACCACATTCCCTTCTGTAGGATACGCGCAGTTCTCAAACGGTCTTCACCGCGTCCTTTCGGCCTCGGCGGTTCTGATGGCAGATAACCTCCTACATCATGGACATCCATACCAATCAAATGACCCAGACCATGCGGTTGGAATATGGGCCCCAAGTTCACCTTTACCATATCATCAACTTCACCCTTAAGTACACCTCCGGCTTTCAAGCCTTCAAGAATCTTCCTTAAAGCAAGATGATGCATGTCAACCCAAGAGACGCCCGGTTTGCATGCGTTGAAAACGGCCATGTTAGCATCGTACACCACGTTGTAGATCATCTTTTGATCTGGGGTAAACTTTCCACTAGTCGGGAAGGTGCAAGTAATATCCGCAGCATATCCAAAATAGTTTCCTCCCATATCAAACAGACTAAAACAAGTAACAATCAATATCAATTGAATCCATTTATTTATGGTTGCATACCAAGTTTCGCCCTCTTTGATGAACTTATCATTTGGGCATCCAGCATGACCATAGTGCAGAACAGCACCATTATTCCCGGATCCACAAATACAAGTGTAGGAAACGAAACGGCATCCTCCGGAAGAATAGCAATGATGCAAGAAAGTTGATTCGCATTGGTACTCGCTTTTACCCGGCTTGGCCATACGCATAACTTTCCTGTGGGCTTGGGAAGACACTTTAGTGACATACTTCATCACTTCCGTTTCGTAATCAGTCTTAATTACGCGCCTGAAAAACCAACACAAATTCAGTTCACATTAGAACAATATTTAGTAATTTGTAATTATTACAAATCAGCAATGTGATAAAACAGGGAAACATTGTCGACTTTAAAGTTCTCGATTCCTGGAAACTCGGCTTCCTTGGCTGTCAATCCACTATCACTGTTTACACCTTTCTAAAATATACAAAATGCAAAATATTTTCCATTAATTAATTATACCTTTATTTCTTTCTAAGAACCTACCAGAGTCAACAGCGATGTTGGTGCAAGTTCTCCCAAAACTTTGGCAATCTATGTATAGTAAAATAATTAAAGTTAATAAAGTTTTATATGGTTTTCTGCAATTAATACTTACGTCATCAACATAGTTAACAACATCAACTTGGTATCTTTTCTTGAAATCATCAAGAGTCAACAAAGGACCCATCCAGACAGCATAAGACGCCGGAAGTTTCGGCACAAAAAGGTAAGACTTTCCGGTGGCAATGTCCACAGCGCCAAAACAGCCCGCTTCCAAGACACCAAAAGTCCACATAAAATACGACTCCTGCAAATACATTATTCATATAATAGTGAGTGATTAAAAGCTTTCTTATGTGTTTGAATGTTTGCATAAAAAATTATATGTTTCTGTTTATTTTGATTAGTCATCTTGTTTGTTTCGTTCGCTCTTGTCTCATTGGGATTTTTCGCACAACTTTCTGCCGACCCACTTTTATGAGGTAATTTCGCCAAAGGTTACAATCGTGTTTTGGAGTTAGCCACGCTTTAATATTTCGTTGTCTTACACTCGTGTTGAGTTGGCGATTGTTGTTAACGTCGTTAATTTGGCAAACGTGTACCACATTTTGGTTTATGCAGCAGCCAACTGTGTGTTTACAGTTACACAGCATAAATTCGCCAATTCCAAAGGAATAAATTAATGAATCATGCTTTTACGAGTTTGTACAATTGTACATGTTAAGTGCGCACATATTTACTTGTTGCTAAAATAGTAAAAAGCATGACTAACTAGCAAAAAACACAACAAAAATCAACACAGAACATTCCATTCATTTCATAAAGTAGTTTCGCTAAAGACAGTGTTGGAGACACAGTTTCTTCAACTGTCCAGTCAAAATAAACACTAAATTCACTTGCGCAATATGATGAAATTTCTGTGAGCAATTTAAATTATATAGACAACATAATCAACAATAACGTGTTAATTTTTTGTATAGTTTGCACTTTAAATGTAATGTCGTCAAAAACAGACTGTATCGTAACGTGATATAATTCGAAATCACCTGTAAATGAATGTGTGCACGTGTAATATGTGATTGTGGTTTTATATAATGGCGGCGTCAGCGTAACGCCGATTTCCGCGTAATTAGCGTCCATTTGCATTATTTGCGTTTGTTTGCATCCTCCGCATCGTCATTTTGCATTGTTAGCGCGTGCAGTTCTTTGACACCTTCAGCCTTTCAACATAACGAAATCATTTAAACATTAAATTGGACTTTGATTGGAATAACTTTTAAAGCTTAAATTTAAAAAATGCTTACAAAAATAAATTTACTTGGAAAATTAAATCTTGCTATATACTATTTCAAGTTGCGTCATTTCATCACTTTGATTGGTAAATAATGAATGATGAAATTCGCTATTTTCTATTTGCAAAATGCGGTGGCGATGTGATTGATCAATACCCGACGGTTTATTTGCAAATATTTGCTAACGTATACAACATTTTATTTAACACTAACGCAGCACTTTTTTTGCCCACTTAATGAATACACTATATTCCAATAAAACAATAAATTGTAATATATCTATTTAAATCGACGTTCAGCGTAAACCATGAAGATAAAAGAAATCGCATATCCTGTTTCTGATTCCGTTTCTGGTTTATAGTTCGTTTTTGCGCGTTTCGATTTCGATTTCGCAATCTTCCATCACGAGAATGAAACATATACTCGATCTAAATCTAAATACCAAGAGCGCACAAAGAACAACCGACCAACCTCATCCGCAGCTGATTGAATAAGATCGCAATGCAAATAAACCAAAGAAAACAAAAGAAATGTATAGAGTAATAAAAGTTATACAGTATTTGATCGTTACAAGAGAATGTTGTTTTATTTTACGTGGCGCTGTTGTTGTTTATTTTCTGCGCTCTTTGTTGGTTGCCAGTTGTTTATTATTTGTTATTGTTGTGTTTCGCTGTGTGACGCGAGACGACGCAACGCAAGTGAACTGTAGAGAACAAACCGTTATGTACACGTACGAGACGAGTGCGGTCTGTTTTCATTTCTCCGGGCCGCGGTCGTTCGAAACGAGGCCTTTCGCAGAGCGATATTGTTCGTATTTGCCATCGCCATCGCTGTAAACGTGAAAGAGCAAGAATCCAAGGCAGCACCGTATCAATGAAACTTTGTATGATCTCAATCAACCGAAATAATTCCAATTATTAATTTAGGTTTCCAACTTCAGCGTCAGTACATGATGTACCTAGATTAAACGAAACATCTCCACAAAAGTTATATCACAAGCCTATATAAATTAATCTCAAAATTAATAATTAAGTATGCAATTTGATACAAATTAATTAAAACGTTTTCATAGAATAAAAAACCAAATTTTCCTTCACCTCATATAAAAATTTAAATCTGTATAACTGACTTAACACTATAAATTTTTTCCAAGTAACTAAAATCAACAAATTGTGCTATTTTTGTAGAATATAAAAATAGCTTTTATTTATTCATGTTGATATAAGTTCGATCCTGCATTGCGCATTGGGCGCAGTGCTGGGCTGTGTTGTGTCGGCGGCACAGTAAACAAAGATTGCCTAATTTGCGCGAAACTTTCTAGTCTAGTAAGCCGAAACAAAACACGAGCAGCGGCCGCCATCATGCTAAATAAACTCAACCACACACATTTAGCATTCAGCACATACAGCATTGAAATCCACTCCTTGTATGTACGCATGCCCATGCTCATTCATTTTGTGAGCTGTGAAAACTGGCAAAAAATCTAATCTCTATATAAAGTTCTCTACATGAGTTAGTTACATGATAATCGTTGTTTTAATATTTCATAAGCACAAACCTCAAAGTGTCAGTCACAACTTGCATATGTAAAATTTAATTAAACACAATTTTTGAAAGTTCGCTTATTATACACGAATTGTTCAAAATTGCGACATTTTTGTCAACATTCAGCGCGATAATTAGTTAATTTCACGCTAGGAATAATGTGATTGTGTCGTTCGCATTGTTTTCGGCAATATTTAAACTTATTTGAAATGTGTGCATGTATTGTATATTATGTCGCATTCGCCGTCTGTTTGTTTTATTTTCGTCTCGTTTCGTTTATTCTCTCATTCTTTCAGTCGCGCCATGTTTTGTTTGTTTATTGTTTCAATACGCAAATGGTACAATTCTGCACGCAATTGTGTTTCATGTAATTTTAATTTTATTATGCTATACTGAAATGTTTGTAACATTTCGCAGCAAAAAGTTGCGAGCATTGTTCAAATTGTTCGGTATCGTGCTAAATTGTGTAAAGTTTTTTGTGTATAGCCTTTTTAACGTACATTTTACAAATTGTATAAGGCTCATAACAATTTGCGACAGTCGCTGTCGCTGATGCTTTGATGGTACAGTTAGCAGTTACGAACATACCTACAGAGGTCAAAAGCCTGCACGCAAACAACAAACAATAACGTAAACAAAAACTAACTAACAATCACTAAATAATTCACATAAATAACATAACAAACTAATTAAAAGATTATTCATAATTCTAATCTAACTATAGAATTTCTAGATGGATATTATAATTGATGTTTACTTTTCGGTTTTTTTCCTTTCGAATTTACATTGATACCTCGCCAATTCCTAGAGCTGTAGTCTACGGTGTCTCGTCCATCGCGAAATATTCGACTTTGCCCGGCGCGCTCCACTCGACATTTATTTATATTCTTTTTTATTTTGAGTTGTGAGACTTCACTGTTTCCTGCTTGACGACTCTGCTATTTTAAATGTCCCGGCGTGCCTAATTTGATTCGACATAAATTAGAATTGGACCAGGCGCGAACGTCTCTCCTGTCCGCCATTTCGCCATTGCGTAAAAATAGGCAACCCGATCATCAACATAATGGGCACATTGTGCACGTCCGCAGGTCGGATAATAAAGACAAGTTCAACGCACTATTAACGGACTTAAAACTGCTCATACCTTTAAATTCCAATAAACGATGACTACTTTTCGATTGAAAAAGATATATTAATATAATATACGTTGCATTTTGTGTTTAATTTCATTTTATGCTAGGTAGAATTTATTTTTAATATATTTAGGCCTGCAGGTATGTATCTATATCTAAAGTTGGTCCAGAAAGCTTTCAAATGACGTCGCAAGACCAAAACTGCGATTTTAGCTTCAAATCTGATGCAATATGATGAAATCTTAACTTCACTTAGTCATTTTGCAAACGTTATCAATCATTATATAAGTACATACATACAATGTTAGCAACTGTTAAAATTCCAAACTTTTAAAGATAATTTCTCGAAAAATAAACAAAACTAAGAATCTTCCATTACAAAACATTCATAATATATTAAATATTGACTCAATAAATGTAATGATACCTGTTTGAAACTGTTTCAATAGATTAAATAATAAATGACCCAATTTACAATATCGATTGCCACACAACCCAAACGCGCTCGTGCTATGAAAGGTGTATAAAAGGGTTGAAGTGGTTGGGGGCTATCGAGTCTAAAAATATTTTCCACGTGCAATTACCGCCAATGCGCACCGGGTCGAACGAATGAAAACACCAGCTCGATCGATGCGGATTGTGAACATGTACAAATGTACAACGCCCGGGTCATTAACATCCACATCTACATCGACATCAACAACATCCAAAACAGAAAGAATTACCATTTGTTTATTACAACTAAAATCTAACTTATTACGAAGCAAATATGTAGTATTTCCATTTGAATATTCGTTTCTTTCAACCTTCAAATAGTCAATTATCTACTTTTTTTCTTATTCTACAAAACATTAACGTAATGACTTGTTTTTGTCGTTGTTTTTGTTATTGTTATTGTGATCGGTTTGTTTTGATAGTTAGCTATTGTAATTTTTTTATTATTTATTTTCTGATTCACTACAATGTTGCTTACCTGTCGGAAGACATGGTAGGTGGTGTCCGTGTCGTAGAACGGCACTTCGTCACCGCCCTGCAGGACGACAATGGACTTTCCGTTTCCGGCACGTAGGCGGTCGACAAGACGTTTTCGATTTAATGCGAAGAGCTCAAGGGGCACCTGATGGGTGTCACCGCCCATTGACAAACGACCACTGAAACATAAACAGAAATGAATTATCAATCAATGCATTAATCATAAAACACATAGAGAACCAAACAATTCTGACCCTCTTTTATTAACTACAAATTTCCTGTCTGTCAAAAAACAGAACTAAACAAATGAAAAAAAAACTAGGTTTCTCGTTAATAACTAAAGTTACATGATTTACGAGTATAACAAGTCATAAATTACTTCCTGACATATCATGTGTCAATTTATTTCGAATATATAATATGCTGTGATTGAGATTAGGTTATGTTAGATTCGGTTAAGCCAGGTTAGTTTCGTGTGAAGGCGAAGCAACAAAAAAAGCGCCGCTCGCCGGAATGTCGGAATGTTGTTTGTTTCAATTCGCCAAACGGCGAGCAAGGCACCAGCAGGAATACGAGCACACAAACATTCGCAGACTGGCATAGACTTGCAGGTCGCAGTCGAGCACCTTCACCAGTCCCCGCGTTTGCTTTTGAGGTTGTTGGTGTTTACAAACAAACAGCGCGTCTCCTGGTGCCGCGTCTCCGCCAATCTCAACTTCAATGCGTTATGTAGTTGACTCAGGTGGCAGCAAGAGAAGCATGGCGCGCACCGGAGCGTCGAACGAGAGAGGAAGTTTCGCGTTCGTTGGTATGCTCGCACACGTCCTATACTCGACTCTGGGTAAACGAACTCCAAGATAAACTCACGCTGAGGGCGAGCCGACGTCACCTTGTGTGCCGAAAATAAAAAGCCATCGTCGCTGTGTATGAGTACAACGCATCAACAACCGAAAATTATATTATTGCAGTAAAACTCAAAACATTCGCCAAGAGATGATTTAATATGATGTAACATAGACGAAGTGTTACATAACTATGATGTATGTTCGAAATGATCATCGAAATTATAAGAAAAGTAAACATGTTGGTGATAATATTTTGGCATAACATAAACATGTAATAAGTCGAAATCGTAAAATAAATTAAATTATTTAAGAAACAAGCAAATTATCATATAAACTTCGATGAAATTTGATGGCATTTTTTATTGTTCAGTTAAAAGAACCTAAAATTGCAATATATTTAATTTTGTGAAACTTGCAAGTAAAATATTTATACTCAGAAACGTCAAAATAGAATTTGACGTGCACAGTAACCTTGCATGATCTCTCAAATATCACTCGTTTTGACAACTTCATATAAACACTCTGATTTTACATGATTATCATAGTTGCAACCAGTATCATTACGTAAAATGATTTTATTTTCACTTAGCACTTTTGAAATGCTATAAAACAAGTGCATCGTTTCATTTTTTATGTTTATTATGAAAATTTCATGTTTCCGCACATGTTGCGGTGTTAAATTACTAAAATTTGTAATACAGACATTTTCATCCTCAAAGAATAAAACTTTTTAAAAAGGATAAAATATTCATATTACACATCAAATAGATTAGACACAACAATGCAAAAAAAAATGAAACAAAAACACAATTTCGAAACTTAGATTATTTCTCGCCTTTTTTTAGATCACAAGTATGTATGAGTGCCCTTGAAATTTTTTTATTGATACGCGCTCCGCGGGTGTGCGCGTTCTCGCGAGCGTGACGAAAATAACCGACGTGCCCACCAAAGAAAACACGAAAATACCGAATTATAACATGCCACCAGGTAATACACGACAAAAAATCAATGAAACCAAGAAATATAAACATAAAATCCACAAAAACAAAGTAAAGAAAGCGAAATTGCAGGTTACCCGCAAAACATAACCTAACCTAATATTACATTATGTAACAATACATAACCTTAAAATTATTTAATTATATTTTAAAGCATAAATAATAATTTAATATATTGTTATAGACCACCAAAGCAATAAAAATCATAGTTTAAATACTCTAGAACTACATAGTGACTAAAAGTGGATAATAATAATAGTTTGGTACGCAATGGTACGAAAGTGAAGTGAGAACTGAGGTGAACGATTCAATAAATAATTAAATAACCAAAACGTCCTTGAAAACGTTCTGACACATACGTAGCAATAGCTCGCACACAAAAACCCAAGGAAAATACTTCTAGGTAAGTGTATTACATCAATGTAAATAAATTTAATATTTCGTATTGAATCATTTATATGTAACATGCTATTTACGTAAGCCAGTTGTTTGTTGATTGTTGTTGATGCGTCGTAATCGTCTGATATCGATAAATATAGCAGATAGCAATACAAAGATCGTTGATTTTCGTCATAATATACCGCGTGATATCTCTGCTATCACTTCAAATTTATGGTATCTTTCCCAACAGCCTTAAATTTCAAAAAAATATAAATATCAACGCGCTGATAACATTGTTTTTGTTTTGGTTTAGCTTTTCTCCTTGTTGGCTTTTGTTCACAGGTTCGTACATTTAAGAATCCTCTACGGTTATCACTGGTTATCGTTATGTGTCATATATGTGTGTCAACGGCGATACATTCTGAATACAATTTAAATTTAACTAGATAAAGTGTCGTAACGATGGAAAATTTCCCAAGTCCTCGATCCAACAGCTTGATAAATTAGCGCAAGCGCTACTAAGTAAACGGCAGGATGTACACAAATAGAAGTAAACAAATAAATAAATATCATAAATGAAGTCAACGGAAATTTTTCCAAGACAACAATAATAACAATTTATTAATTTGATCTGCAGTAAAAAAATGCTTGTAGTATTGCCAAAAGATTTCTGGAATATTCAGCGTTCCGACATTTATAACTCTAATTGTCTGTTGGCGACCATCATATCATCGTAATACCATATTATGCAACACAACACGAATATTCAATCAATTTACATTGTCAATTGATCATTTGTCAATGTAGAGATGCAGATGTACCTACATAGTGTATACATTTGTTGCTATTTGCATCGATTCGCTAATGAAATGTGAGATAGTGATGCGTATAGGAATAGCGCGAGAGTTTGCACTTTGCGCCGCGGACCGAATCATCGTCAGTCCCGTGATTCCCGCGAAACTTATAAATAACAATGGCAACTATAGCGCGCGCCACGGCTGTGGATTATTTCGGGAGCGCTCGAAAACGCAGCCAAAATCGCCAATGTGTGTCGGAAACCAATGCATAATTCTATACTTGACTAGACATAATACAAGCACACATATTTCGATAAATCAGAAAATTGACGACATTCTTCTGTAAAAATAGAAGATATATTAATACTTGTTGGCGGAGGCGCGCGCAGGTGTCAGACGACACAGGAAACCGTTAATTAATCTATAAATATATATGTATATATTGATAAAAAGTAATGTACGAGTATGATTACAGGATGGTTAATGTTTATATTAATATTGACATCCGGATTTGTATCGTCATGCTCAAAAGTGGATTTTAAATCATGATGGGAGTAGATTTATCGCGGGAAAATATCTCATGTGTGCTGTATAATCAAAATTTGAACGTGGTATCAAAAATAAAATATGTACAGATGGTATATTTGTTATTGGGCTGTTGTAACGTCAGTTGACACGTCAATGAGCGTCATTCATTTACTTGCTGTGCTCGCTCGCATAACATGCCAGCTTGTTTGCTGATTCTTAATGAATGAATCTCACAAACGCAATGTGAAAATAAAAAAAGGCACGCAAACGGATATTACCCATCTATTCTGTGTTTTGTCATAATTTCATCTATGCTCTAAGCTATTCGCAGTAAATGTAATATAAATATTTATTATTTGGTTGTTGTGACTCATGGCGACGGTAAAAGTAAAAAATAAGGTTAAAAGTTGGTTTTCCAAGTCGGTTTGTTATCAAGTTAACCGTTAACCGAGCAATTCCCAAACTAGAATAGAACAGAATTTTAATAAATTACAAAAAAAAAACATATTTTCGGAAGTCGACAATGATAAGAAACCACAATGTAAACCACATTTTGTTAGAATGTTATAAACTGCGGTTTTTCATTCCCTAGGAGATATGCTTAGAAATTGTTTGGATTACAGTCAAATTATAAACTTATTTGATTCATAAATTACTCGGTTTACCATCCTAAGTATAAAACTAAATTTAACTATAAATTAATCGATGGAAATATTAATTAAAACAAAAATTAAGTTAAAATTAAAAATTTCTAATTGTGTACAAGAGCCACACCCAAAACACGAACCAATAAGCCAATTGACATTCCATGCTGATCGAAAACCTGAATTGGCAATGTTTCTCCACATCGTGATATTTGTTTATGATTTTTATACCTCCACCATTCACACAGCTCCTTTACTCATTTGTTCCGAGCGAACCACACGTGAACAATAACGAAACACGTCAGTGTAAAAATTATGCGAATACGCTCGAGGTCATAAATAAAAACATACAAAATTCATACTACTAATAAAACCTACACAGAAAAACGCTGACAACATTCATAAATATACGAATCCAGCGACTAATAAAAAGTCAAGAGAGATAGACTGCAAATACTTTTTTAAATTTGTAATAGACACAAAATGAGAATGGAAATTAGAATTAAGAATATAGGTATCTACTACTCATAAAAAAAATACAAAAACTAGTTTTACTATAAAATAAAGAAATATAGTTTCAGCACCTTCATAAGACTAAAGAATCTAAGGCATAGTTAATGATAACTTACTACCAACCAATTCATTCTAAATTTAAATAAGAAATTCAACTAAAAACCAACAGAAATTGTTCAAATGTAAGAACACCTATAGAATGTATAATACTATTCTGCTCCACGGTGAATGACATGACAAAAAATGTGCGGTTGTCAAATGATACGAGAAACGAGTAGTGTAAAGTGTAAAGAACCAACCGATGATAATGTTCATGACGACAAAACTATACCAGTTCATGGATGAATTAGAATTTCCCGTATAATAGAAAATTTACAACAGTATGCTACGTCATACGCGCAGTAACATCCAATTGGTGGATAAATGTTAACGAGTAAATGTTTAAATAGTTGAACGTCAAATGTCGAGTGTGT